TTAACCAGTAAGAAAAGACTGGGCTACAATTATGAATAAATATTGTTGGTCTAAAGTGGTTTTTTATTTTGTGGAGGTGATATAAAAGAAAGTTCTCATAGACTCGAGGTTAAGGTAGCAAAAGTTTTTATGAAACTTGTTTGTCATCTACCTGCTGGATCCACTTCTTGGATACATAAAGGATAGTTTTTCCCAAATACTGTAGATGGTATTTGAAGCAACCAGGTTGCCATGGATTATTATGAAATTTTTACCAAGCACGCGTAAATTCAATGAAATTAATCCCAATAAAATATTCTTTGCTTGAAAAGAAAACATCCAGTTGGCAATGCTTTTAATTCTAAATGCAACACCTGTTTGAGCATTTCGTATCATTTTTGTTCTTTCTCTAATTTCGTTGCTTTTGATTAAGGGATTGGATTTTCGAAAAGGCATCCAGTGAAAAAGCCAGCTTCATGCCAGATTTACCTTGCCTCCTACCAAGATTTCATTATGGTCCTTACGGAGCTATGAAATGCTTAATCAAATGAGAAAATAAATTTTTAATTCAATCTCTTCAATCTCCTGAATATGGCAAAATTTAAGAAAAGCACGACTGATTCGGAATATGCAGTAACTTTTGCAGATTTTTGATAGCCCCGTGAAGAATGCTTACTGCAGTCAAATTATAGTGTTTGTGTGTCATACAGTTCAAGTAGATAACATTTCGTAAATTTCACCATTTTCACGGTTAATTTCAACAGCTAGCTACCACAAGGGCTATTTAGAACGTAGTATAACTTATCAGAATATGCCTAAAGACGATATTCGCATCTTCAAAATCGTACATGAGACTTTCAGAAATGGAACTTATATTTGCTACAAAAATAGCAACTGATCCAATCTGGGTATTTATACCGCTTTTAAAATTATTACTAGGTTTACTATTTCAGGGACAGGTTGTATTTAATACGTAGAATAAAGAAAATTTTAGAAAATGAATTTTGAACCGAACATTTGCTAAGTGGAGAGAAAAATTTACATTTCTCAATTTATGTCACCATTTAAATTCTTTCCAGACATCTGCATACAAGAACTTGAATCTTGCAAGGAATTTTATCTTGAAGATAATGTAATTATTGGAACATTATGAAAAATTAAGCAAAATTAGTATGTAAGACGACCATGTTAGGGATTTTCTGCATATCTATCCAATGTTGGGAGAAATAGTTTTGATTTTTGCCACATACGTAACAGTTCCAAATCTTCACTGTTTTTCTTGTTCTATCATACTACATTCGGTTATAAATTTAGATATGATAACTATAATAATAGATGTAAGAAACATTACAGTTGTTGCATTGTAAAAAAATCCTAAATCTTCCTTCTTTCAATAAACTTGGTAAAGCTCGCACCACAAGGCAACGGTGCATTCAAGTAATCATTTGTAACATGATTAAGAAAAAGAAAAGGAAAATCCTGATGAAACATTTAAATTGATATCCAACTCTACACATGGAATATCTCCTACTAACTTTCAAAGTCGTGAGTCACTTTAAGACTGCACATCGAGGTTTAAAGTTGCATGCAATAATCTACATTTTTGGCATTTCAGCGATGATATCTACCAATATTATTGAATGTGGAAGCAAACTGGCATGTCTTTAGAATTTGAGCAAAGTAGTTTGTGCAGTGCAGGCTAATTGCATGCAATAGGAAATGCACTATTCTGCAAGGAATTTTAGTATATCAACATTCTTGTAAAAATTCACGATTTTCTGTTACCGCACTTCATTTAAGCGTTTTTGAGCGCAAAATTGAGAAATTTGTATAACAAAATTTAATTAAAAAAATTTAGACACTATACTCTAAAATGAGATCCCCATTGAAAAGTTTGAATAAAGTGCTAATGTGATTTAAGAGAAAATTTTTGCAATCATTGGAAAATTTGATGTTTCTTGGAGGGAGACATATAAAATCCTTTAGACTTCATGCTGTGTTAAGAGGAAATTTCACTACATTTTTATCAATGGAAGCAGATGGAAGTTTATAGCCCATGGAGAATGCAACAGCGAATGTCAGATCTTTTTTCATCAACAAAAATTATGTCACAGAATGAATTCCAAATTTGAGGTTTCTTCAAATTGCAAAAGTCATCTCTTGATGAAGATTGCATGCAAATATCTCTCCAATGATGCAATGAGGAACTGTTCATAACCATTCAAGTGGAGGTTTTTTGAGACTGACAAGAAAAAGTGATGAATTGTTCCGTTTCTTAAGAGGTCGCAAATGTTTATGATGACTGACGCTCTGATAGCGCAAATCCACATACTCTCTGATTTAGATATGAACAATTAACAAATTAACAATTAGCGAAATACAATCAAGTGTAGATGGGTCAAAGATACGCTGGCTTGCTCGAAATCCCAAATTCCAAATTATCGCTTTTATCGCTAAATTCTAGAAAACTGATGGAAAACACTGGTTAAAATTAATTGGCAACAACTATAACAGCTTTGCGAAACCGCACATACACACATGCCCTTGTAAAAGTACCGGCGAAGTGATAGCGAGGCTCTGATATTTGAAGGAAAAGTAATACAACACTTTGATCAAAACTAGTCTCTGAGCATTGAAAATAATTTGCCTGTAGAAAGGCAAACAAGACTGTAATAATGTTACCTGGACATTTAATTTGTTCAAGAGTGAGGAGGATATAAACAAATATATTGTACAGCAAAGCCAAATAATGAATAGCATCGGTCCTAGCAGAGATTCTTGAAAACAGGCTCTCCGTACATTGAAAGAAGCTACTTATATTGACTTTAATTATTTTTCTGTTCAACATTCAAACTAAAAAACATTAGTAGCTAAGGCTTAGTTGATGAGAATTGTTGACAGTCTTACTATTGGTTGGACATAAGGCACTTTCACATCAAAATCGAAATAAATTGAGCTAATGCACAGAAATTCGGAATAGCTTTAACAGGTGGACTTATTAATTTAATGAGCCATATACAGTTTCATAGGGGCAACAATAACAGTGAAGATAAATTTCAACGGCAACGATAACGACAAAGATAACGGCAACGATAACGGCAAAAGTAGCAGGAAAATATCCGACTCTGTTTTGATCTGATTAAGTCTGGATATGAAGGGAAACATACAAGAAAGAGCTGAGAAGAGACCATATGGTCAGCTGTGCTCTGGTAAATTATTTAAGAAGCACAGTTGACAAATACATTGTATGCTATTCATACGAGAAGAGCACCTATGGCTAGACAGCAAGACCGTATGAAAAATATTATCAAGACAGAGGTAACAGTTAAAAGAAAAGTAGCCTTGGCGTAGGCTTGCGAAATGTACAGTTATTAGGGTCTGGTATGAAACTTTTCCATTTTGAAGGGGTAATTCCTCAATCTCAGTATTTCTCCTCTCAAACAATTCTCAATCTCTGGTGTCAGTACACTGAAATTTCACCCTTGAATCTGTTGTGATTAAAATCAAATTCAAAAAAATTCCAAATAGTGCTTGACAGTAGTGTAGTGCTAACTAAAGAACAAGAGGGGATCTTGCACAAAATGTTGCAAAAAACAATAACAAAAGCAGCTAATTTTCAGCATCAGCAAGGGGGGCTCAGTCCCCTGAGCCCTTCTAGCACTACACCCCTAGTGCTTGACTTCAGACAGAGTGGTGCTAAAAAACTGCAAATCGAAATTTAACTGCGAATTTATCAAAAATGGGAGTGATCACATTACGTGTTTACCAAAATTAAAGTTTGATTTGAGTCATACTGCTAGGGGATTTTCGAAGGACATTGGAGGTGGGAAAAGGAAACGCTAAAACATAGAAATGAACAAGGAATTTCCAAAATTGTTAGGCTCTCTATAAACAACACATTTTTCACCATTTATATTTTGATCTGACTTTTTGCAACAAAACCATTAATGCTGTTGAAAAACTATAAGGGGAAATTGTAAAACAAAATACGGATAGAATCTGTCACATGAAGGCAACTTGATCTTTTTGCATCAAAGCATTATGAATCGAGTTACGATGGAACGTCAGCATTTCAAAGCTTTTTATTCAGTTTCTATACTCAAAATGACCTAGACACAGACGTACGAAAGAGGGGGTCAGGGGCTAAAGTCTAGAGCTGATTAAATCGTCGAAACACCCAATCTGGCAGAAAGATTGTCAATACAAAAGTTTGGAAACACAATAGGCCAGTATCCTAAAATTTTGTACCTCGAGAGCCCATGCGTGAAAACATAAAGAAGTCGTGTGTCCTCCCTTTATAGCGTATCAATAGATGTTATACGGTTAAGATACATGTTATCGGATCGATTATTTGATAATTGTTGTCACAGAAACAGCTAACATATAACACAAAAACTAATGTGTCTTAAAGTCAAAACCGTGTAGCAATTTAATTAATGCTTATCGTTTTATATAAGACGTTTAGACACTGCAAAAGGCAGACATAGCGTCACATATACAACAAGGCTTCGTTGCTATCTACAGTCGCGTGGGAAAAGTTGTAGAACAGCCAGTGTCGTTGTTCAAGTACAGTGGAAGATAAATTATTTCATTAAAACGCCTGCCTGGTCATCTGTGGAGGATGTCCTCTGAAGTGGAAATTAGACGGTGAGGCTGATTGAATCGAATAATTGTGAGTTCCCAGTAATAAAGAAAACATTTTTTTAAGATGAGAGCTGTTGTTCAAGGTTCAGTTGTAGATGCTTAGGAAAATCTCCCTGAAAAGTGCTGTTGTTACGGACACATTCTGACCCCACCGTTATCACAGGTCGAGAATAATGTCTGGACTGAATGAAAACGACTGACAGAGTGTCCTTATAATCATTCTTATAAATTGAGGGCCTTCACCAGTGTCCATTTTTGTGCGTGTAGTGCTGCTAAAAAGCTGGCTGTAGAGGGTCAAGGATCCTTACAATAAGTGCAATAAAAGGTGTACAGTAGAAAACGCTAAAGCAGTACAGAAATGAACAAGGTAAACGTACCTGACGTGCCCTTGAGAAATCGATTGACTTGAAGAAGGCTCTTGAGCAATTGTGAACACAAAAATCGCTCTTTCATAGACGAGCCATTTGACAAACATTTATTTCTACCTAAGAATCTATAATGTGTCTTCGTTCTTCAGCTGCTGTTCTGACCAAACAAAACGACAGACTTTTATTTGTTCAAAACATACAGACTGACAAAATTTAGCAGTTTTGCACCCTATTTGCTTTGGGTTAGAAGAGGAAAGGTCAATTCAATTGGCAAATGCTATACTATATATTTGAACTAGCAGCAACAATAGAAATCTACAGTTGACAGTTCTGTTAGAGCTTGCGTTTTATTTAACGCACTAATGATAGTTTTGTATGCTAAGTGCTAGCTGGCTGAAAACCTTAGGCAAAAGAATTAAATGTGTTAAGAAGGAAGAACCGCAGGGTAGGCTGTCCGCCGGATTCTCCGATTCTGCAATGAATGATAATACTTAGTATTCGTTAAATTTAATTTATTTTGAAAATTTTATTATATTACATTGGATTCTCGTTGTCGTATTGCTTTGTTCCTGAACTTCTTTCAAAGGAATTAAACACGCTTGAAACTGATTTCCATTATATGTCACAGCCGTGGAAAAGATGTCAAAGAGAGGCACTAATATAGTCCAATAGCAGAGCAATTGTGTGTGATACACAAAGAATCTGTATCACACACACTGCTAGCCTCGCTGCTAGCTTCACAGCTACAAGAAAAATCTTAACAACAAAAGCCCATTTTTAAGCTTTTTGAATAGTTTGTGATAAAAAAAGGATAATTCAACATTAAACAGGAAACGTCAAGATTTTGAAAGTGGGGGGGGGGGGGGATCTTTCATGATTTTGCAAATTTAAATAATTAAACTGGTTAAATTAAAGGGAAAGTGAATTCTGATCATCGTCAGGTGCCTACTGTTTACAAAATATCAACTCATTTTCTGTATGACCGTGCTTTAAAGGTTCTGTCTTGGCTTCTCCGTGAATTTTTTGTTATGTAGTGAATGACGTTCATATCGTACATCTAATATTGATTGAACTGCTTCTTTAGAAAATCACGTGAGCAGAAATGTTCAGCTCTTAAAAGATTTCTTTTCCTTTATAAAACGTGGCGACATAGTCTCAGTCTCGGCAATTATACCACGTCTTTCCTGAGATTACTCTTAAAATGGTGTAAGTGCACTTTAACTCTTCAAAACACTATTTACCGTCTCTTTTCTTGTTAGAATTTGTGTGAAGGTGATGAGTTATCAACAAAAACCTTTGATTTATAACATCAATACTGAGTGCCTTTTAGCTGGCGTCGACAAATTTATATCAATGATGGAAAACAAAACGGCAAAGTGTTTATTTTGAACTATAAAAAAAATGCAGGCAGAATCAGCTGTTCTAACAGAGCATCCATTGATGGTAATTGTAAAATAAACAATAGGAAACTTGCGAATGACAGTTGCTATAAGCAATCTCATTAAACGAGGCGCTATCAGATGGCAAGAACAACGCTGCTGGCCAAGCAATGTACGAAACTGCCCCAATCAGCTATTCTTCGCGTGATTTTGAGATTAAGACTATGTTGACGATTTTTTCGATGTGAAAGTTTTGATCGACATTTTCGGCGTCCTGAGGGTGTTGGTGTCATTTTTCCCTCGCTCAACTCGTCTTCCCCCCCCCCAAATCTTACCACCTTGGCTTCGCTACTGTAGCCTTAGTGTCATTCGAACAGGAAAATCGCACAGCTAAATCAGTACATATTATAAAAAATTACTGCATTTAAGGAGGGATTCAAGTATCAGCACAAGTCCAGCAATAAGAGCATTCAACAAAAACTTTCTGCATTTCAAAATATTTGACAAGCCTCCAAAAAACTTCTGTTCTCTTTACTGTACTGTACTTATTTTGTGACCCTAATTATCATAATGAATAGAATGTGAAAATGCGATGAAAATCGTACAACGAAAAGTCCATTGCATTGCACATGTTACCCCCTCAAATTAGTAAATATTTAACTAATGAAGAAATTGAATAATAGATTTACCTTCCCGCCAATCTTTTACGGCAAATTTCTGAGAAAGAAAGATAAGATGCTATGACTTTTTCTACGACCACAAAGTTAGAAAGTTTTTGTAACTGATCTTCAACAAGCAGTTGATAAACGATGCTAACAGTGTTTTCAATGAAAGGGTGAATAATTCTCTGTTTCCTCATCAAACGATGCCTTATCAGAGATAGCAATAGTAATCCCACTAAAAAAGGCACTATATCTCACATTCAATTGTTTTGAAAATTCTACTACTTTGAAAATTCTACTGTTTTGAAAATTCTACTGTTTTGAAAATTCTACTGTTTTGAAAATTCTACTACTTTGAAAATTCTACTGTTTTGAAAATTCTACTACTTTGAAAATTCTACTGTTTTGAAAATTCTACTACTTTGAAAATTCTACTGTTTTGAAAATTCTACTACTTTGAAAATTCTACTGTTTTGAAAATTCTACTGTTTTGAAAATTCTACTGTTTTGAAAATTCTACTGTTTTGAAAATTCTACTACTTTGAAAATTCTACTGTTTTGAAAATTCTACTACTTTGAAAATTCTACTGTTTTAAAAATTCTACTACTTTGAAAATTCTACTGTTTTGAAAATTCTACTACTTTGAAAATTCTACTGTTTTGAAAATTCTACTACTTTGAATATTCTACTGTTTTGAAAATTCTACTACTTTGAAAGTTCTACTGTTTTGGAAATTCTACTACTTTGAAAATTCTGCTGTTTTGAAAATACTACTTCACTATTTGGGGAAAAATCGCCACGAAGATTCACGAATCCTAATGCACTGTTCGGGGGTAAACAAGAATATCACAGTTTAAAGCAAATCAGGTTATATTGGCATTAATGAATTCATCATCAAATAAAATTGGTATTGTTTGGGAAAACTAGAAAATAGGGCAGAGATGCAAATTGCTATGATCAGGTGAGAAAATATACAATACTCCTTATCATACAGTTTTGTCTTTCAGCTGTTTGTTTACAATCACCGAACATTTCGAACCAAACAAATTACAGGTGGAAAAAGCGTGACATGTAAGAAAAAATAGATTTCTGTCAAAAATGTATCTCACAGACAGCAGATGTACAGGCTTACGTCGTCAGCTTAAAGTTTCGTAGAAGATTAGATGACCCACGCTGGCTGTCTTTTTAACCGGGTATAGGCGTGAACCTTACACAAAATTAAGTTCGTTGTCTCGTGATCTTCTTACGGAAATTTGATCAAGCAAATCCATACAAATTCACTAAAAATGCTCCTCCCTCAAGGCTGCTCAGAGGCTTGTGTTTTTCCGAAATTTTTCGTCGAAGCTTGATTAAATTTTCTTCATGCAGTTACGACAATGAGGTCAAATTAAGATTCCCCCTACCGATCGAGTCTCTTCACATAATATTATAAAAATTCACAAAATGAAGACCAAACAATCTAACCCAAAGTTCATTCATTTGCCAAGGCGGACTTACACAATATAAAAAACGGTTCCTCAAAGTACAAAGATGCTTAGCGAAATGTTTGTCTGTAGATTGTGTGTAAAGGGAAAAGCTGCTTCCACTTGAGATTGCTACATCTTTAAAAGGAAGATCTCAGTTGGCTGACATGGAATTCTCTTCATTTTGCAAAAAGAAGAGTTCCGCAAAAAACACTCAATAGTCAACTTGATTTTTCGAAGACAAATTCTGTGTATATAATAGAGTGTAACGAGTATTCGCATAGACCTGTCTTAAAAATATATCCAAATGTCATCTAAAATAGAACTTTAACACCCTGTGCGACCTGGCTGGCTCATCCTTAGATGAGGAACTGTTACATAAAAAGGCTTGAAAATTAAAACCCCACAGGCCACCTCTTTGACAAAAATATCAAATTCTATTTGAAATAATTGGTGAATAATGATGCTGAAGATACTAAGTTGCAAACAACTCTTTTCCTTTTCATAACATGACTATTTCAATTCTAATGAGGATGGATGTTAAAAAATCATTCTGGTATACAAGAAATGTGTGTAAAAAGCACGAGGTTTAAATTTCTGAAGCACTGACAATAAATTAAAGAAACACATATAGGTTAATAAAGAAAAAAAATTCAAGGAAGAAAAATATAAAGAGGGATAAAATACAAAGCAAATAGAATTAAACGTGAAATAACTTGAATGTGTAAAGTGTGCAGGCTGAATAAAATGTAAACAAAAGTACCGTTATTTATACTAGCATCATAAAAAGTTAAAGCAGTCAAGAAATAAAAAAGAAAGATTTTAGTCTTATATGGCTCAAAAAATTAGAAACAACGAGCAATAATTCAAAGGGTGTGTGTCATGTATAAAAAACATGTAACGTTACTCTTCTATTAACGGTCTTTAAATGCCTGCAAAATCTGAATTTAAGGTATCTTAAATTCACATAGATGACATTGGAAGAAGAAGATGATTTTATAATTGCCAACTGCTCAAATCATTGTTATTAAGAGTGAAAGATTATCATCGCCTCGAAAGCTTAAAAATTGTAATCCTCATTAAAAGCGTTGCCCACTCCAAATAGAAGACTACTTCATATAAATAAGTTTCATTAAAATGCGTCAGCATAAGTGAACATACATATGCATTGAAAATAAAAGACCATTTAAAATTGTTTGGTCTATTCTAGTTATCAAAATAACATTAAAATACGAACGAAAGTGTGTCTTCAGTTGCAACGTGAGTATTCATCTTTGCTAACTGTTCAAATATGTTAACGTCTTTCTTGGATGATCTCTCTTTGTCCCATATAAAGTCACACGACTATTTATAATAAAAGAGCGTATGGTACAAAATATGCCTTTTAAACAGACTAAAAGTCCCTTAAAGAGTTCTCGTTTTGAGGCAAATAGTAAACAATCTAAATACCTTGACAATTTCAAATATACGGACTCTAATAAGTTCTGCATTCAACATTTTCCAATGTTATGTCATATATTCTGAAGGTGGCAAAGCAGCATATGATAGAACAGTCTGTAATAGGACTGCAGAAAACCCACTTCAGCTTCAGGTCATTACCTAGCTTTCAATGTTAACAACATCCATTCTGAAAACAAAGGAAATGGGAGAAAACATTAAAATGGGGTAAAAATACACAAAAAAGCGGAAACATTGATTACTTTCAAATACAAGCAACATAACTGATTGAATTTCTGATTCGTTGAACGTTGAAAAAATTGATATTTCGATAAGGAGGATAATTAAGTTACTGAAAAGACGTATCAGCTTATATCCAATAACCACTTAGGAGATTAACGAAATGACTGCAAGACACGCTGGAAATCGTGAATATTACTATTTGCGTTGAGAAGACTTATTTGATGCATTTATAAAGCTTCTGGATAAAATCCTGTTAATTTTAACTTTCAGCGTTACTGTTAAAACTGAGTTTATTAGGCAGCTGCGTAATAAGGCTGTAATAAATCAATCATCAACCAGACAAGTAGATTTATGAATACCCATGTTCACCGGCTCAAAATCATATGAGGCTTTTGACAGAAAAAAGAGACAAACGCTAGAACCCTTGCCAAAAAGGTTACAATAGAGTACCACAACAGAATACCTAACCGTGACATCATTGAAAATCTCTGTAAGGTTATGTGCTCAAAATTTAAAAAATCTGCATTCAAAATCAAAGGCTGAGAAACCTAGGATCTAACAACATCCCAAGTTTTAAACGCTGAATATAAACGCGTTTTTGCAAATGAAGTGCTGTTATTAATTTACCACTAAAATTTCTATTTTTAACGTGTAAGCCGATTTCTATATTTGATACATGGTTGAGACTTTAAAACACTTTGACCCCTACATAAAAGTAGTACGTTCCTTGGTGCGATTTTAACTGAAGCGTTCATATTTCTTTGGAAGTGCCCCATGACTACTTTTCTTGCGATGCTTTCAAACAAAGCAATTGTAAGCATTTCATTCCAAATATCCTCAACTTCCTTCTCGTCTTGAACCTGCGACTTGAACTGCCACGTCCATTCTTCCATGCCAACTCCAAGACATCTGACTATGACTGTTTTTTTTTAATCCTTGCCATCTTTCAAGTTTTTCAATGACACAACTTTTCTTATTTGCTTCTGCGTCAACATCTTGCCATGTCATATCTATAAGCATCATTTTCCTCTTTGTTTGTAACGCTTTGTCTTTTAGCTCTTGTTATGTTTTGTAGCTGATAAGTTTCAGTGACGTTTACGTCTTCGTTTTCAGTGACGTTTCCTTTTCCTCTCTCTCCTTGTACAACAAACAATTTTCAATACCAAAGGTGCTCCCCAATCTACGGACTGTACCACCGCTACTTCGCCTTCTCGTAGATTCACTGCCTGATAGGAATTTGCAACCAGTGGAGCATCATACTTTCAAGCTTACATATCCTACATCAATCATCATACCCACGAATTCCTCTTTGTACTTTCCAGCCATTGCATCAATCATTTGCTCCAGCATAGCTACAGTAACTGAAACTTTCTTTGGTTCGATGTTACGTTTTAACCATTTATAGCTTTCTTGCTCTAGATCTTTGCTTGCATGACCGTTTCCATTAAAGCCTTAAGTTATGCTTTTTAAATCAATGTTTTAGGTTTAGTACCATGTACCTTCCCATTGTCCTTGCATCTTTGTCCTGTCTAGCAATCAACCACAATTTCATTCCTTCATAAGAACCTCTAAATCTCGCATACCTCTCTGTGTTTCGCTTTTTTGACGTTCCAGCTTTTTTCAATTGCGCTCTTTCATGCCTCTGTCCAAGTGTTTCTTGCTTTAGCCTTATGGATCGGACCTTTGGTTCTCTCTGCACGCCTTTCATGCTTGTTAGTCCCCCTATCAATCCTGAAAATTGATGCCATTCGACTTCCTTCTACTTCTGCTTTTAGCTGAGTTTTGCCTATCGTTTTTCCTTATCATGAAGAGTTTTTGAGTTTCTCTGATCTTATATTTGATTTTCTGTATTTTCTTTTTGTTTTGACTGAAATGGAAATTACTTCATTCAATCCAATTTTGAGTAAGTGTAAACAGGTTTTCAAGTGCCTACACCATTTTGAATTTGCATGATGTACAGTTTAGTAATTTTTTATAACTTTCAGGTTGAACCAGTTGAAACCTTTTTTCGGGCATTTCTCAAATTGAGACCTTTGAAATAATTTCATTATGAAATCAGCAATTATACAATCAATCAAAAATATTGATTTGCAAAATTTTAGTGGCCAATTTGGATATCTTATTAGCATTTTAATGAGCCATGAAAAATTACTGAAAAGGCATCAAACAGCTAGTTTTTCAAATTCGCCCCTTTTTCTAACCATTTATTTCATACCTAAACTCCACCTCATACACTATAAACGATTTCATTCCTGATGTCAAACCTCTCTCAAAAAGTGTTTAATATACAGTCAGACTCGCATAAGTCGAATATTTCATAACTTGGACCAAAATGTTTGGTCCAAGTCCATTTGGTATAAAATCTATCAATTTTCATCGCATAAGTCGAACTTTGTAAGTCGGATATTTGCGTAAGTCGGAACATTGTCGAAGTCCCTTTTGAAATAGGCATCGCACAAGTCGGATTCTTTTGCAGCAAAATTAAGATATTGTCATATCCATGGCTCCCTTGAGAAACACATTTGAAAGAAACACACCTGTAAACATACAAGGTGTGATTCCAACACCACCCGTGCAGACAAATAGGGAGCAAGTTGAATACGCCATAGCCAGCCCAGTGCCAACCATGCCTCTGCAGAAGGAATGATGGCATTGGCACTTTCGGCTTAAGCAAAACGGAATATCCAATAATTAGAGAAATGCCGAAGCGTATGCATCAGAAAGCAATCAGTGACTATTTTTTGATGCTGGACATGCATTTGATTAGCACTGAACTGTGCATGTGATAACATATCTATTCTTCACTATGTTTTTCATTTGTTGTGACTTACGTGTAAGTAGGACTTCGCAAAAGTCAGACTTTTTTGTATGGTCAGAGGATGCTTTCAAACAAAGCAATTGTAAGCATTTCATTCCAAATATCCTCAACTTCCTTCTCGTCTTGAACCTGCGACTTGAATTGCCACGTCCATTCTTCCATGCCAGCTCCAAGACATCTGACTATGACTGTTTCTATTTTTTTGTAATCCTTGCCATCTTTCAAGTTTTTCAATGACACAACTTTTCTTATTTGCTTCCGCGTCAACATCTTGCCATCTTGCCATGTCATATCTATAAGCATCATTTTCCTCTTTGTTTGTAACGCTTGTCTTATAGCTCTTGTTATGTTTTGTAGCTGATACGTTTTTTATCTTTTAATCTATCTAATTTACAGATTCACCTTTTTTCCAATAGTTGTCTCTTCTTTCATTTGTTAGGCGATATGCCACATCATCTGTAGATAAAAATTGCTAATAAAAATCGATTACCATCAGTTATTATTTCCTTTCTTACATCATTTAAAACTGCATCTACTTTCTTTCCGACCACCTGCAACTTGTGTCTATCAGCCTTGACTAAACTCACTTAAAATGCCAGTTGATTTTTCTTTTGGCAAGGCCTCCGCAATAGCTTCAATCAGTAAGTAATCCTCAGCACTTTCTCTCGCAACGCTTTCTTCTCACGGCATCTTCACAGCAGAGGCCTTACTATAATCACCAAAAATCTGCTATTTTCATATTGGTTCTCAACATGTTCTGATCCTATCCCTCGTCTAGGCGTCATACTTATCGTCTGACATCATGTAATCAGTAGGAATTTGGCGTTCTTTTACCCTGATGGCTTTAGCTTGAGCCTAACAAACCCTTCAAGTCAAACGTCAGAGATTGAAGTGGCTTAGGCCATATGAGAATCAATAATTTGCCAACAAACAAATGTGATACCACTTCTATGCTTCTGATTGGTCAATTGTTGATTGGCAGATGGCTTAAGCTACCTAATTTCTGATCAATTGGTTTTAATGACGACAGAAACACCTTTTCTGAGAAATGTTATCCTGTACAAATATAACAGACAAATATCATAATAATTACTGCTACTATCATCATTATTTTTATCATACATACGTCTCTGGCTGGTACCATCAAGCGATACTACAATTCCTGTCAAAATACTTGGCAAAGCCAGAAGTTTGCATTGCATTTTAAATCTTAATTTCTTTTCCAAAAAAATTAATACTTCCGCCCCCTTCCCCCTAGAACAATGTTGATAATTTAGAGAATTATCATAAAAGAAGCGCAAAAGAAAGTGCTTCCTTAAATCCTAACCTGTTTGATTGTAAACCAACATTGTTCTGTAGGGGAGAGGGGGATGAATGATTTTGACCTTGGAAATTGATATCAGTGTTTCAAGACTTTTTGCAGGCATAGTTTATCTCCCAAGAAAAAAAACAACTGTTCCTTACCCTTCCCCTTTCCTCACCCACCGTTTTACTCGTATACTAGCTATTTCTGCCAGCAAAGTTAAAACATAACTGCACAAAGGAAAGGGGCTTCGACACAGATTGGAAAATGGGCGGGGGGCATGGGAAATTTAACACACATGAAAAGGATTTTGAAAAAGCTCTATGGCTTTGCAAAAAAGGTAATATTGAGTGTCCTTTGATGTGTTGTCATTGTACGTTTAATTTTGCCATCTTTATAGTTGTAAGATAAGTCGCTAATTTTACACCACCTAAGAAAAGCAAGGTGTAGAGCAAGCAAGATCAAAAGAGGTCAATATTTCTGTTGTCATGTAATTATTTAATAACTATTTTCATTATTACTATCGTCATTGCGTTATTATTGTATAAACGTTTTTCCTGTTGCATGCATTTCGAATACATTAAAACAGTCATGTCAATAATGGCAAAGCAACATAAAAAGAAAAGAAGTGCCAAATGAAGAATAGTAATACATCTGAAGCATTGGGGAATACATATGACGCATCTTATACAGCTGTCTTACACGTCTGAAATCAACATATGGATAGATTTCGAAAATAAATCATCGAAATGGTAAATAAAACCTCTTTTCAAGTATGGCTTTCAAGGATAAATTTTGATAATCATTGCGGCTTTTCAGAGTTCTTGTACAGTACTGTAGCTTTCAGCAGGACATGTGTAACGTTTTAGGATTTGTAATCTTCAGTTACTATTATTATTATGTTAAGCTAGATTCTTTGATTCTGTTGCCTGTTTATGTCACAAGTTTGTTTGTCTTACTGTTTTGACAATAGAGATAACATCAACGAAGGAGTATCTCTTCTGCATCACTTATTCGGGGCCTAGGCCCTTTGGCCTAGCCCATCGCTCCACTAACGAGCTTGGTTATTAACTTGTTCTTCACCGTCATGACAACAAGCCATATGGTTACACATGTTTGTCCAATTTCAATACTCTGAATACAGATTTATAAATATTTTCTCTAGAGAATGAATGAAACGAAATACGTACTCATCTTCCTGATCGAAACTGTCATTCGAATCTTCGTCATATCTCCTAGATTCAGGCTGCCTGATCTGTAAAGCAAAGGAAATGATATTTCATTTGATCAATGAAGAGGAAGCAACTAAAATTCAATGTTCACAAAACTTCCCCACTAAGAAGAGTTGCTCCTTTAATTGACCAACAAACTACACTAAGCGAATCTGTGTTTTACTATAAAGCTCCAAGGAACGTGGGTAGTTTCAAAATGGAAACAAATGAGTACCCACAGAAGGCGAATTAGTCTTGAAAAGTTAAAGACATTTCCTTTCTTTCAGCAGCTGACTTCTGCCAAGACGTTGTGTGTTTGTCGGCAAAAAGTGTGATTTAAAATTCACTTACCAAGTGTAGTATATTTCTAAGAATATTATTTGAAAATGGCCTAAACTATAACCTAATTAATACAATGATAAATTACAAAAGAAGACTTTCGAGTCAAATATCCGTTTTGACTGTTTTGACCACGACTATAAGGTCAGCGATTAAAAAAGGCACGAAAATCAAATCCAAATCTCTTTATCAACAGAGTTAAACATGTTGGGAGGCTTTTTCGAGTGTTTCTCTATTCTCCCGCCTTCCTGTTGAATACGAAACATCAGAAAAAGAAGAACGCTTTTCGTCACTGTATTTCCAGACGATGGCTGACAGCAGAGCACGGGAAAATGACTGCGTGATTGGTAAGTAAAACCGGGCAGAACCTTCGAATGAATTATTAAGTAATTAAAAAATAAACAAAAGAAATCATTGCTTATTGCACAATAATTAGCAAAACAAAATGTGCATGCGTTGCAGTAAACAACTTGATTAATTTTGATACCTTTCAGGTAAAAATTACCGCCCTTGCCTTGAGAAAAAGAAAAAATTAATTCTTGTATAAGATTCTAACTATTTATGGCGAACATGGAAGAGATTTAATACAAACCTCTTGTTTTCCCGGAGAAAGCGTTTTCAGAAATAATGCATCACGTGGTATATAAGGAACGATGGCCAAATTTGAATCTTCAGGCCTTCTAAAAGAATAGCATAGACGAAACAGTAACAAGCATTCTGCAAACAATCTTAAAATAGTTGGAAAATAAAATTCATCAACAGCCACTTTAAGTTTAAATGCTTAGCTTATCAATAGCAAACTTTGAAATATTTGAAACCGCATTACGAAAACATTAAAATTGAAACATTTTCAACAAAAGATGCATTAGAAATCATATTGTTTGTGGATATAGACCATTAAATATTATTCCTTATTACTTATACTTTCAAAGAATAATTAATTAATTTGACTTGTGAACATTGAAAAAAATTGAACTTGTGGCCTTATTTACAAAAGTTTAAAAAACAAATTTTGAATTTCATAGAACTGAACTTACACCATATCATCTAAAATGCTATCTGGTAATATTGTAGTCATCTTCTTGAAGTTTTCTTTTAGATCAACATGCAGTTCGAAAACTGGATCAAGGCTGAAAAAATAGATAAAAAACTAAAGGTACGAAATTTTAAATTGATGGTACTGTGACATAGAGGAAAAAAATGAATGAATAAAAGAAAAAGCCCAATGTTTGGCAACTATAAGTTAATATAGTCTACCTAAGTGTTGATAAAGTCATTGAACTCTGATTTATAAGGGAAATTTGAATACTTGAAACCAGGGACACGGCAAACCTTCAGATATAAACAAATTAAATAATTGATAGAAAACTAATTTTCCATTGACAGCTTGTTTTGTCGTTGGCTACACTCAGCTAAACTTGAAGCACACATTTTCTTTGCTTGATAAATTTAAAGATTCATCTCTTGCCTGACAGGCGCTATTCATTTCAAGAATAGGATCAATGACATTTTCCGAGACTGTGTTTTTGTTGCTATAAGTGTATTTAGATCAGTTGATAGTGATTAGTTTAAAATGTTATAAAATATATCAAACAGATCTTGAATCTACTTCACGATGTTTGACATGAGAAGTACATGTTTTGTCATTTGAGAGATGCTGAAATTTGATAACTTGATATCTATTGTTCATTTAAAGGACAGCACAAAATCGAATTCCAATGCAAGAACTCTTATGATCAACCAGTGGCGGAAATTCAGGCTTTCATTTGAGGGGGACAGGCCTACAATTTTCCGACAAGATAACATCTTGGATCATGTCTTATTTTAAAGAAACTGCACATTTGATAAAAATAGGTGATTTTTGACGTGACCCTTTAGAAATCTTTTCTGACCACACCATAATTAAGTAGCAAAAAAAACAATCCATTTATGATTTTTGATATAAAGATCGATATTTCATCTAAGACAATCGATGATACAAGAGGTCGACCGATTATACTTTTGACAAGTCGTACGTTCATTTAATGCATTTTATCTTGTTTTTCGCCAATAAGAAATACGTTTGAAAATAACTTTTATTCCGAAGAATCCGATGGAAACTTAGGCTACACTCATTTTCTTTATGAGAAACAAAGGTCGATGTTGAGTTTCTTGATGTTCTGGAAATTTCAATACTTATTGTTTCTTAAGGGTTTCTTAATTATGATGTCATGAATGATGTTATGAAATGTTCGTGACCTTTTTTATCACGTCAAGAGATTCGCTTCCGTTACAATGCTGTATTCAGATGTGGGAAGTATATTTGTATCTCTTTTGTCTTAAGTTCTAGGCCAACAGGGCAATCTTGTTCTTGGAATTGACAAAATTTCGTTGTTCTCAGTTTTATCACGATTAAAAAGTTTCTTAATTTTTTTGCTTCGAGTACTGAAGTTTCTTAATTTTTTCTGACTGTCCAGTACTCATTTCTTATAGCCAGCTTCTTGTATAAAAAATGAGTGTAATCTTTACGGAATTGAAATTAAATATACAATTTGCAAGCAGTTCTGATTTTGGACATATATTGTTTGTTTGATTATCAAGTACTGGCTAATATTTTACCAGCTATGCTATGTTCAAATTTTGCAAAAAGGGCACATAGCGGCTAGAGGCCCTTGGGGTAAAAAGGGAAAATGTAGATCAAATGAAAATTTGGCAATTACGCCCCTTAGATTAGCTTAAAATTCCTTTTGAGAACGATTTCCTGGAGTAATTTCGACACGTTAAACGGTTGTCAATTATCCAACAAAAGCCTGAGCCCCCCCAAACCCCCATAATTTCCGCCAAACAACAATATAAAAAGATGAACTTGTGCAAGACTTTTTCATATTTCATATGTTTGATACCTGTATTAACAATTCAAAATTTGAATATATAGCATTATTGTTAATAAGACCCCCCACCACCTCACTATAACTAGCAAAACTTTATTTGAATCACATAAGATTTTCAAACGATATCAGGACTAAAAACTAATATGGAAATGTTTCTATGTACTAGGTATCTACAACCAGCAAAGAATGAAGTGAAAATATCAAATAATCATCAAATGACTTTTGATAAAAAATGTTGTTTAATAAAAAACCAGGCTAAAGTGTTAAAAAAAGGCTTAACGGAATATGTTGGCTTAGTGTGAATTTAAAAGCTTAATGCAATAAAGCAGAAATTCAAACCTGCACCATACCAAACAAAATTTAATTACCTATAATAGTTATATGTTGCGTATTGCCACTTGCTCATAAAGATTCAAATTTACTGTAATCAAAATTTTCTGAAGAAAGAAAACAGTTAAACTGATCAAAGCATCATAATCAAAGCAGATCAAAGCAAAACTTGTAAATGTCCCTGATCCTGGTGGGATGGAAGTCCTTCTGAATTTTAAAAACCCTGTGTCATTATACAAAACCAAATACATAGCTATATTTTTAATACATTATGGGCAGATTCAATAAAAATATCATCAACCTCCAACCACAAAATATTTAAGTCATACCTTTGTTCTATGATATCACTGTCATCTATATCTGAGTCGTCTTCAAAGTCACTATCATCATTCCTAAGGGTAAATGATGACAAATAATTAAAATAAATTTTAAGTAGACTTTTACTGTTAATGTTGATCACAGATACCATGATATTTCTTGGAATCTAGGAATTGTTTAAATCATACTTCTGTGGGGCATTAATTCAAGAAATTCAATGAGGGGTGGGTTTTCATGATTTTTAGTTTAAATTCACTTTTTTGTTCCTTCTTAACATCTTAAAAACTCTTTCTCGTAGTGGTTATTGCAAAAGAATAGCAAAAATAGTGGTATATATAGCCACTTTTCTAATCAATGGAAAGACATGTTAAGTTGCTTTTAGCTTAAGAATGTGGTGACAGAGAAAGAGAGAACCAAAAAACATATTTTAATGGGAAAAATATATCTGCATGGGGCTGTTTGTTACCTTATTTGATGAATTTACCAAAACTGTAATAGATTTTGATTTAAACAGTAAGTTCAAGGAAAAATAAGAGACCATACACTCATAATGGAGCATATTTCCAAAAATGAGGAACAGATCTTAAAAAATTTAACCTTTAAACCAAGAGTATAGATGGCATCATGATTCTATAATATCTAAACAGTATAAAACAAGTTAAAGCCAAGAATTATCTCAACTAAGTTTTGAACCACGGGACAGTGAAGTTTAGGAATAATTCATATTTGAAGTGCGATGTATTTTTTGGTTATATCGAAGCTTAAATTTTGAGGTGAATTTGAGCTAGAATTTCTTCAAAGCACATAATTTTAAAATCTTTTAGAGTAGTTGTTTTGGTGGCTTGGTTGTAATTTACTATAACATACTCTATTTAGAAATGAAAAGCATTTTATGCCTTGGAGTAACAAAATTCCTTCCGTTACTTTATATATATGAAAAATGTTTTCTTCTTGGCACTTTACAGCCAACTCACCAATACTATATATTTGAACTATGTCTTTCTGTCCAAAAAAGATTGCTGACACAAACTATTTTTCAATAGAAGTGTCTTTTCAACTCTATAGGGTATCTTAAAACCTTTATTTGTTACTTTTTTGTGCTTTTTCCTTCCGTTACTTTATTATCTTTGAATATTTGTAGCTGTTTTAGAATTATTCACTCCTCAATTTATAAAAATGTTGTCATACAATATAAGGGTAGTCATTTCCCAAAAAACTGTGGAATGCCACAATGATTTCAGTGGTCTGTACCATGTGGCCCTGGCCTTTTAAAGTTTACGTGCATGATTTTCCAAAGGCAGTTATTTCAAAATGCATTTATATTCCAAAACTTTTGACACGAATACTTGTCTCATATGGTATTATGATAAACTGATCAAGATATTGTTTTGAAGGCTTTAGTACATTTCTTGCAAATATTAACACTATAATGATTCCAAGTGTTCTTAAGTATTTTTAGCCAATCTTTCAATTGCTTTTTAAAGATTCTTGACAGCCTTGAAAAACTGTACTGTTAACTAAGGCCTGCACAGATTGTTGAGTGAGTTCAACTTTTACCTACAATAAAGCTGTATGTTAAAATGTGCAAGGCATACTGACCTTTGTTAGCCTTTATATCTGATGTTACCCCTTGTTTCATCAAAGTTGTTCGGATAAAGTTTGATTGACACAGTATCAGATCATTTAATATTTGACATAGTTATCAGGTAAAAGTAATAATTCTAAAGTTTTTCACATCTGTTAACATGCATCCTTTCGTTACTTTATTCCTATTCCTTCCCTTACTTTATATGCATGCTACAAACAATTTACTGGTAACTTTCTTTGTTGCTGACATTTAAATTTTGCCAGTGATTTAAAATGAGGGATCTTGTAGCATCTTTCATAAACAGTCTAACAGTAGCTATGCTGCAGCATTGAGATAGAATTTACAATCTCCCATAAAGATTTTATTTTAGGAAATCTATTCCTCTTCCGTCACCAAATAAAAGCCTGTATCTAATTCAAGTGCCATTGACCATTTTGCTTGAAAATTTGCACGTATATTTGTACATTAGCAAAAGGTTATGTTGTTATTCCTTGCTGTACATCATTTTTAAGGCATTAAACATCTACCAAATTCCTTCCGTTACTTAATTTAGCATTTTGAAATATCCCCAATGACATACTGAAAAATTGATGAAAGATGAAAAAATCACAGTCAAAATTGTAGAGTTGGTATTTACTGCAATCAATTGAGAAAAAAATAAACAACAATCTATTACCCCATGATCATTATATGAGTTTCATGCCAAACCAAAGGTACATAAAATGTTACTCACATTTGTTTAACTGATCCTAAATTCAGATTATTGTCAAGACTGAGATTCTGCATACTCTGAGCCATTCTTTCTTCTGTAATATGTTGCTTTCTACTTGGTAATAGAGAACTGTGTGGATGAATAAAGAAAACATACAGTTTGGAAAAAAAGGGGAACGAATAACTGGCAGTCAAATTATAGGTACTATGGCTAAACCACAAAAGAAAGATTCCAAAACTTTCGCATAATTTCATTCAAGAAAATTTTTAAGGGTGAGGTTGAGAATATTTAAAAATACCTAATATTTCAATGCATCTATTTTATTTGAGCCTCATCACAACTAGATTTGATATAAGAGTAAAAATCAATGTAAGTAGAAACGCGAAAGCTTGTAGCTGTCCCTCCTATAAAAATAATTATTTTATCTAAATGAGATTTTTTAAATAGCTCCATGCATCAAAATATTTTAAGTGACATTGAGAATATCTTTAATCTGAGAACTAAAAGCGCAAATAATCCTATGATTGAATTTGGCTTTGAAAAAAGCAAACATTTGAGTAAACTAAAAGCTTTTCGCCTGACACTCTTCAGAGTTTAAAACGTCAGAACATAGATCGAAAACTCTACACTAGGAAATATATATACCCTGTTGTGGATCGAAATAGGCAAATCAGAAACGCGAGCACAACTGTTGAGGTTGACCAATCAGTGCCGCTTGCCTATTAAGAGTGTTACCAATGGGGTCCTAAGGTGAAAACAAACTCCTTTTGTCTAGACAATAGCAATTTTTCATACTTAAGTAGATAGATTCCAAAACTGCCAGATTGAACGATGATCGGGCAATACCAATAACCTGAAACATGTGGCCATTAAAGTTTTTTGCAAAATCTGGATTTTCCAGTAAATACTGTGCTGCCCGATAGCAGAATCGCAGGTTTTAGTTCTGCAAGACCGAGGTGGGTGTTCTCTTTGGGGATTATGAAAATCTGTCTTATAGGAATCTTTCATCTGCGTTCAGAAAAATTATAGACAAAGATGCTCCTTTGAAAACTAAGATTCAGAGAGGGAATACTGCCCTTTTATGAATCAACAATGACAGAAGGCAATTTACACTAGATCAAGGCTCAAAAAAGATTGATCAAAAAATCCTACCCAAGAAAAAAGAAGGAAATTTGAAAAGCAGTGTAACAGAGGCAGGATCTTGTAAAACCTTCTCTTTCAAATGAAGGTGGACTAACAAGTAGCAATATTTCTCTTGTGAAAAACGACACTGTTATGTCCAGAAGCTGACAGAGATCTTCAATGGTTACTATGTAAACATAGTTGAGAAATCCAGCAGTAAGAAGCCTGTTAACCTTGCTAATGATACTGGAATTTCTGATGGCCCCAAAATTGTTTGATTAATTCTGGACAAATATAAAAACAATCATAGCTATCATTTAAAATCGTGAACAAATATCAAACTCAAAAAAAACCAAACAAATACTAGTGGAGAACAGATGAACATTGGAAGTCAAATAATCAAATCCAAAGAGACTGTGAAACTTTTAGGAAAATTCTTTCGACTCTTTGCAAAGCTGCAACACAAGTAAATGTTCTCAAAAGATTAAAGATGTACTCTTCGTCTTCCAAATCATTGCAGAAGATAGAAAGATTACAAGAATGCGCCATAAGGTTTCTCTATAATGATCACAAAAGTTCACATAATGATTTGCTTCTAAGATCGGGTAATTGCATGATGCACATTGTTCGCCAATGACTCCTTTGTATAGAAACATTTAAAACACTGAATCACTTGAATCCACCTTTTATGCGGAGCATTTTAAAATTACGCTCTTCAAATTATTCATTGAGAAATAAAAAAAACAACTTGGTCCATATCGGGCCTAATCAAACAACTTTTGGGTCAAAAAGTCTTAAATCCATTGGACCCTAGATTTGGAACGGTTTACCTAGTGAACTAAAATCAGCAGAAAATCTGAAAAGTTTCAAGATTTCGATCAAAATATGGGATGGTCCCAACTGCAGATGTAGTGCCTGTACCTGTCTACCAACTTTAATTCAGAACTTAGAACTTGTAAATTTAGAAAATATTGTCCTTTTAGAGGGGTAGGTTTTGCAATTCTTTTGGACCTGGGCAGCTCTAAAGCAAAATACCAATATAAAACAGAGAACATGATAAAGATTAAAACAAATAACTTCTAAACATAGATCAAAAAGAATATATAAAAATGAATATACCTGGAATCTTCTTCTGGCTTTCTTTTAAGACATTTACCTGGGTTGAATCTGAAAAAATAAAAAAGGCAAAGAATTTAATTTTATTGAAGATATTTATTACACAGAAGCTTTAACTTTGACTATGGAATTGTGCAGGGAATTGTGCAGGTTGACTCTGGTGTCATTATTCTTTGTTAAGATTGCAAGATTGTTAAGATTCATATTTTGTCAATAAAGATTTACATGAAAGAAGGAACTAGCCAATACTTGTTTATAACTTTGTTTAGTGCAAGACTTTCTATCTTGCACAATAAATCATAACACAGTTAGTTTTGAAATTCACCTAGCAAATTGGGGCTTGTGATGGATAAGTCTGAGCTGTCCCATATTTACAACCAAGAGTAACACAGGCTCCGAATGAACAAGGGCTAATGAGAAAATTTATTTTATTTCTTCACTTTTCCCAAACTGAGAAATTAATAACAGAAGTTTAATTTATAATAAAAAAAGGATTATTTTTTAGACTCATACTTACAAGAAACTTGCTATAAGAAATAGTACTCAACAATCAGAAGAAATTAGGAAACTTCAGTACTAAAATATTAAGAAACTTCTGTGCATGAAAAACTCAATAAAAGAACATAAATGTTAAAAAAATTACATCATGATTGAGAAGTGCTTGAGTATTGACTAAAATGAGCATTGAAAATTCTGAAAGTGAAAAAAACTGAGGTGCTAAACATTGATATTTGTTTCTTATAAAAATATGAGTTTATAGAAGACATGGAAGTAAATTCCTAATCAGCATGCTGCAAAATACCTGGTGTGTTGGCTGCCTAGAAAGAGATGTGCATTTGTTGATCAAAATGCTTTTTAAATATTATATTTTAGCAATCATTTTAGAGAAGTCTTTTTCTTTTAACTACAAATTCATACTTAGTAATTAAGTTTTTAATATACATTATGTTTTTTTAAAGTTGTTATTAGTTTGCTATATCTATACTTCCAGGACAAAAGTATTGCAACACTTGCAAAGGCAATTAATGGCGGATCACGCAATAACTTTTGTTGTTGTCTGATTAAGCTATTGTTTAATCAGCCAATGGCGCGCAAATAAATTACAAAGTCAGTGAAGCGTTATTTTGAATATTCCATTTTCATTTTTAAAAATTTTAAATCAATAATTCAAGTAACTTTTAATTAAACAAACATTTTTTGGAGGTGCTTCTGACTCTGATAAATGAAGAAAAATGCTTTGGAATTGATGCACAGAATTTGTTGATGAAATGCACTGGGATTCTGTTTCATTCTCAATAAACTCTCTAAGTCAGTTTTGGTTTGGACCTTAGAGAACCTAATAGATTTCAAATCAGATCATTTTCATTGGCAACAAGAAATATTCGCTTATTTTAAGGTTAGGTCTTTGTCATGGCCGAGGAAGGACATAGAGTTTGCAGATTTTCAGGTAAATTCGAGTAAAAATGACCTTGTAAGGGGGATGTATTGCTTTTTATGAAAAGGACTGCCTTCCTCATTTTCCTAGCATTAATTTGATTCCACCAAAGAAACTGTTATGCATTATTTTGACATGTTTCACTGCACTAACTCGCACGTCGCTAGTTTATGATTTACTAATTTATATAGGCCTAAATGTACCCAAGAAATTATCCAAGTTGTATTGGAGAATTTCGAGGCTAAAAGATTCAGAGCTAAAAAATTCATTTGTTGTTTCCTAAAATTTCACTGTTTTGCTATCATTTTCTACCAAAGTTGCAAAATCTTTAGAGTCAAGAGACCAGTTACACGAAGTTTTATCACAACTACCCGCTCCTTATCTTGTCAATATCTTGAATTTACCACTACAGATATTTTTCTTATAACTGTATAATTTCTCATGTTAATATTGTAACTCTAAGTTTTTCGAAATCCTCGAAAAATTTAAAAGAATTTGATTCCTGGTTTAGCATGATTATGCTAATTTTTGAGGGGAATATTTCAGCGTAAAGTTAAAAGTTCACAAAACTTCAAATTTTTTGGACGCCATTTTGATTAGGATGTTGCAATACTTTTGTCCTGGTAGTGTATGTTGAGCTTTTCATTTTAATTAAAGTTTTTCACAGAGGCTCCTAAGAAATTCTTGTGAAATTACAAGTGCACTCTTGCCAAAGATGGGCATGGTTTCGATGTGGTTTTGGGTGTGATTCAAATGAAAAAGTTTTTCAAAAATGGCAAAATGACTTTCTAAATTTGTTCCCTACTGAGATTAGAAAAAAGTATGTCATCCTACTGAGATTAGAAAAAAGTATGTCATTCGAAATTGAGTGATCCTCTTGAAAATGAGTGATCCCGATGGAAATGAGGCCCCTTGCAAGAGGAGCAAGTAGAGGATTTTTGTCGAGAATTTTTTTGCAGTCATTTTATTGCAATGACTTAAAATATTAAACTTTTTATAGGCATCTGTTATGTTGATTAATTCAATTCTTAAAATGGAATTTCTTCCTTTATGATGAGGCTTCCTTGATCTCGAGGCCCTTGGAAAATTTGCCCCCTGTCCCCCTCTTGGTGGCCCTGGTTGAGATCATCTTTTAGGATGATCAAGTGTCTAGTCTTTTTAAACATTCTTTCTTGAACTATTCCTTTACTTGCCAAATCTTAAAGAATTCTAATAGCAGCCACTGATCGTAGTGGAAGGTAAGCATAGTTCAACTCTCAATCATTGAATAAATGCAATCGGGATAAGTGCCGAAAAAAATATGCAGGTACTTATAATCACTGGAAAATTTGGTTACACACTCAAATTGCACACTTAGCGCAAATGCACTCTTGCACTTGGGGTAATGCAATCCAAAGATCTCGTCAATAGCTGCCATGAAATCCAGACTTGCTTAAAATTAGGATGTGGAAGAAAATAAACATTTGTGATGAGAGATGTGTAAACTGCAAACCTTTCTTTTACATGCAACTAAGCCTATGCTCTATTATTTTTTGCAGTGAAAAAAGTTGAGTTCTTTCTGCTGCTCTTATCTTGAGCTTGAGTTTCTTAGTTTGAGTTTGTTTGCCAAGGGACATCAACAAAATACATGGACATGGACAATGACTTCTAACATGGACAAAGTAGATCCAATTTTCCAGCTTGAGAGAAATCTTTCCAATTCAAAATTTAAGTGCTGATAGAGCATATAATCAAAAGCATATTATATATTTACCTGTAACAAACATCTCCGTGGAAAGTGAATGAACCATTACTTGCAAAACTATCACCCACATAAACAATGTCTTTATTTGAGTATAGGGTTGTTTTATGCATAACATCTGATGGACAGGCAGCTGCAATTTTGGTGAAATTCTTTTTTTCAAAAACATTAAAATATGGAGAAGTTGAATCTTGCATTGATAAAAAAGGCCTAACTCCTGCCGCCGCCATTCGAGGTTGTAAGTGTAGTAAAGGACCGCAGCAGATTCCACTTTCCATGCATCGAGCACTTGCCCATTCACCCGCAGTTTTATCCATCAAACTGTTTAACAGTGGCTTGAGCTTGTCGTTTTCAGCAAAGGGCTGCCATTTAACCTTCGTTATCGTTCGTTCTTCGTTCTCTAATCTCACAAATTATTCGTCCTGTCGTTTTTTGTTGTTGTGCGAATTTGAATTCGAGGCTGGGTCGTTTCTAGAATTTTCAAGAACACCCGGTTTAAAAGAGGCATACGCCCAGGGGCCCAGAGGGTGACTCGAACTATTGATATAGAGGGGGCCAATCCGATTGTTATGGTAAGAATTTTCTCAGTGATTTGACACTTATTGGCCCTGATTGATTGGATACTGAAATACAAAATTGATCCTGCCAAAAACTCTAGCGGACGTGTCTTCCCCCCAGTCCGTCTCCCCCATGGCCCCGCTATTGTGCCCTGCATACAAATTTGTTTCCTTCCCCTTTTCATGTTTAGTGAAACGTGAAACTGTCCACATAAGTGCGAAAACATTAGAGGGGCTGCAATGAGGCCCACTAGGGGCGGGGATGTACACAAGGACAACGACGAAATAGCTCTCCTTCCGCCAACAACTTTCAAGAATTTTCAAAGCGAGGCCGTTGTGTTATGGCCGATGGCTATTAGAAGTTCTTGCTGGCGCTTTTTGCTTGGGGTAAACAGAAATAAATTGTTTGAAGTGGACAGGAGAGTGGGAGGACGTATACTTTATAAAAAAGAAGTAATTTTTGGTAAAGACATGTCGACAGTTAGAGCGGGAAGAATGTTACAAGAAGTTGTAAAGCGACTTGAAGATTTTTCCTCGACAAAACTAGCGGAAAAATGGGACAATGTAGGTCTACTTGTGGAGCCTTCTGGTTGTCATGTCGTTAAAAAAATTCTTTTAACGAATGATCTTACACAAGAAGTTCTAGCAGAAGCTATTGAGAGGTCGGCTAACATGATAATTTCTTACCATCCACCAATATTTGTCCCTCTGAAAAGACTCATTCAAGGGAATTGGAAAGAAAGGATTTTGGTAAAAGCTGCCGAGAACCGAATCGCGATTTACTCACCTCACACTAGTTTTGATGCCATAAAAGGTGGTGTAAATGACTGGCTTATCAGTTGTTTTGGTCCTGGTGATATACAGCCAATAATTCCATCAAGTAACCCTTCTATTTCTGCAGAAAAACCAAACGGTTGCTATAAGATAAAGTTTGTATTCAATGATGTGGGTGATCATGGAGTAGAGGTGATAAATAGTCTAAATAAAGTGAAGGATACCGTATATATTCATGCTTCAGTCCAAGATAACAGGTATGCTGTTTTTGAATACATTCTATTCTACGCAAATCCTTTGGACTAATTTTGAATCAGTAATCTGCTCATTTCAAATCTAAAGGCATTTGACATGCTTTATTTCAGCGAATCCAAAAATAACTTGATTAGAGCACACATATTTTTAAAGGAATTTGAAACTTCTCACATGAAACCACTGTGCGTTGTTCTAGGGTTTTGGTGATTTGCAGAAACTGTTCACATGTTTTTCTCTTGGCTCAATTTGATTGGTCAACCGCTGGAGGGCAAGTGGCTGTAAGCCATTTTTACCTGTGTCAAATGACTTTAAAACAAGTGCCCCTTTTGTCAGATAAAAAGCACCCCTCTTGTGAGAAAAATTAAAGCATTCTTCAACAAAGTGCCCTTTCTTCAAGGATGAGTGCCTCTTTATCAATCTTTTTAGGCTGAATGACAGGGAAGAGAGAAAAAAACCCCTAATATCAGATCTATAATTTATATCATGAAAACATTTTGAACTTCTCGCAAAATGGTTTTAAGCCTCAAACATGTGTTAAAAAGTTTTTTGGCAAATTTCAGTTACTTACAAAATGCTAGCTTTTTTAACATTAATTTAATAGTTTAGGTAAGGAGGTCTATGGGTGCAAATGATTCCCCTATGGCCTAGCCTGCATGCATACTTAGCAAATGGGAGAAATTAAAAAATCTGTGCATAAACCCAGATTTTCTTGTATCCGCTTATTTTGCAAGACCAGTGCCTTATTCAAATCACTTTGTCTTTATGACCAATGCGATGTCTTTCCATGATATTAAGGAGCAAGTCATAATGAATTGCCTTTTTGTAATCCTTATGAAATGTCTTTGCATGCCAGCAATTGAATCAGTGTGATGTGTGATCATGTAAAACAAATTACCCAACTTTGTACACTTGGTATTCAGGCAAACACTTTGAATACATACTAGAAATAGCTCTTGCTAGTACTGCCCGCAAACAATTAGTTCCTTGATAATGATTGTTTTGAAAATGTAGGTCAGGATATTCGAAGAAGACACCATCTTGGGTTTTCACAATTCTATAAAAACAGCTGCTCTAGTTGATGCTAAACTATTCTTTTTATCAAGAATTTTTGGTGTTCAGTTTGCCTTTGATTTAAGTCCAACGCCCTTTTGAAAATCATGAAGTTTTTCAAGGGTTTGACATTTATTTTTCGATAATCACGACAATCATAACTTTTGCTCGTACGGTCTCGAGTTTTTGGGAGAAAAGTGTGGCATTCGACTGGTTTTGATTCCCAAAACTTCGAATCAAAACTTCCATCCATTGCGGAGAACAGAGCTGTGATGCAGCACCGTTTTCGTGCCAACAATCATAACTTTTGCTCGTACGGTCTCGAGTTTTTGGGAGAAAAGTGTGGCATTCGACTGGTTTTGATTCCCAAAACTTCGAATCAAAACTTCCATCCATTGCGGAGAACAGAGCTGTGATGCAGCACCGTTTTCGTGCCAAAAAACCGAAGGCCTTTAACAGAGTCTTGGCAGAGCAACGCTCCGAAGATAATTCCCTTCCGCACAAAGAGGTGGCGGTTAACGACCTCCTCGACAAAGCCGATTGATTGACAATGAAATTGATTGACAGTTGTCATGGCAGCAGAAAAGTGACAAAATCTGCTGAAAAAGTGCTGACAACATGAACTGAAGCTTCCATATGCTACTTATACGCGGGGCAGACTATAAGCCCTTCACTCGCGCGCTATCGCGCGCGAGTTGCGGGCAATAATTAAATTTCAATTGAAGCCATTGTGCCATAGAAAAACGATTGGAAAATAAACATTATTCCCTGTAATTTGTTGGATACAAGTAAATAAGCTCTGTTGCACAGAATTGACAATTTCTTTTATTTGTAAAGTCTGCCAAAGGCTACCTTGGCCTAATAGGTATATTTGGTAGATTTCTCTTAGGGATGAGATTATGATGAAGGGTCTTTACTTTCAAAGGTTCCCATAATTCAAGAAATATAGCACTTGTGGTGCTCAAAGCTACCAATTAATACATTTTTGATCCTCTCCAGTAAAAGCAGGAATACTTAATGCCTTGAATTGCAATCTTATGAATATTTTAGTAGCTATTTCTGTTACTTTGTGTATGGGCATGATGTTATAAAGGATATGTCCAAGTGCCCTTTTTATTTTGTCCCCTAACTGTTGACCTGATTTCATTGTCCCTAGCCTAACATGGAATGGACTTTCTTATTTTTCTCATTAAAGTAATTTTTCATCATTAAATATAATTGGGAGTTGTTGTTGTGCTAATCTAAACTTCATTTTTTGTCTTTCTCCTTTATGGATCTACTTTTCAATGTTTTACACCATTTTACCTTTATATTTCCATGCCAATTTAGGTTGGTTCTTGAGGTATACACTCCTCCATTTGAGCATGCTCTTGCTAAAGTGTACTGCTTAGTTGCAGAAAGTAAGATGGTGGTTAAATTCTCAGAAATATCAAAGTTAGAGAAAGTGAGTTCAGAATTGCCTGCATTTGGTCATTATTTTTGTATATCAATTTCTACAGAACATTTATCAATAAATTCCATGACCTTAAAGTGGTCTGGTAGTCAAGCCTGAAAATTAAAGAAGCGTCAACTGCTCTACGCAATTAAGAAATACTTTATCACCTTGAATTTCTTTGTTTATTAAAATGCTAGAGTCTTTCTAGGATCTTTATAACTTCTTTAAGATACAGACTTTTTTGCCTGATAAAACAGAAAAAAGTGAAAAATATTGCAAAAACAGGGCCTAAACTGTGAATATGAAAGGGGGGGGCCAAAGCAAGCAAAATTAGGGGGCCAAGGCGTTTTCCCCTTTTACTGCAGCTTGAAAACTACTTGCTTTGCAATAACATTTGGAAGTTTAAATTTCTATCAAAGAAACTATATTTGAAATTTCATTTCATAAGCACTTTAAAGGCATGACCTTTAGTTAATTGAAAAGGGCTTTCTTCATTGAATTGCCCTTCATATTATCTTAAATAAGATCAAAAGTCAGGTTTTTCATCAGACGGTTATTTTATAAGGATTGCTACTGCTTTACTCTGTATCTCTTTGAAAATTCTTATTTGTATGATTCAATCTGTAGTCTCCGCTGCCTGGTTTCGGTATGGGGCGCACTGTTCAGTTGAAAGAACCTCTAAGTGTACAAGATGCAGTTCAAAAGTTAAAGAAGCATCTAGAAATTCCATATGTCCGATTGGCCTTGGCCAGGAAAGCATCAACAGACAAAAAAGTGAGCACTAAGAATTTTTTTGTAACTTCCAATTGCTAAATTTCAAGAGCTTTCTTTAAAATACTTTTGATTTCATGCACCATTCCTATAAATATCTATATTTTTTTTGCTTCTATCTTATTAAACTGCCTGTTAAACTAGCAACATGTTAGGCAGCCTTTCCACTAGCCAAGGTTAAAACAAAAACGGGTTAAAATTTATCAGTTTCTGCGTCGCGTGCCCACTAATCCACTTGAAAACGGATAAGTTTGAAAACGGGTCTCAGAGTGGGTTAGTTTTAACCCGGGTATCTTTTGACCCACCTACGAGTTGATGGAAACGCGGAAACCCGGATAACTTCTGACCCACTTGCAACAACAGCAACGTTTAAGAATTGAGATGGTGCCAAAATCAAGAAACAAAATCCTCGATGTCGATGTTGTTTTCATTGGCCTACAATGTTGCTTTCATTGGCCTACAACGATGGAAATTGAAGGATTATTGATGCAAATGCTGATTTCTCTTGCAACTTTTCATCCTGAACACATTTCAACCCCGCTGGAATTGAAAAAATGCCTAATCTTTTGATCATCGAAACTAACTTAGACGTTTGACACCGAAACAAAATTCACAGTAACTCGCTCAGGAAGAGTGCGCTATGTTGATTATTCATTCTGATTGTGCATTAAACTAACGATGCATGAATATCGTGACCATGAAAGAGATTCTGAGAACAATGGGGGACATACTGCCTTTAAATATTTTCCAGGTGAAAAGCATTGCCGTTTGTGCTGGATCTGGAGGGAGTGTTTTGAAAGGAGTCTCAGCTGACCTGTATGTGACAGGAGAAATGTCACACCATGAGGTTCTTCATGCAGTTGAAAGTGGTAGAAGTGTGATACTATGTGAGCATTCAAACACTGAAAGAGGATTCTTAAAGACCATTTCGCCAAAGATCTCCGAGTGGTTCGACGGAGACATTGAGGTAGAAGTCTCTCAAAAAGATAAAGATCCTTTAACTGTTGTTTAACATCTACTTTTACAACACATTCATGGAATGAATTTTCGTTGTTTGTTTGTTAAATTCTTGGAAAGTGCTAGTAGATTTCAAAACCTAACTCGTTCTTGTTTTTGAATTGCTCACTTTGCTGAAAATCTCTTAAGATTAAGCTTGAAAGGTTCTTTCTGGATACATTGTTACAGGTATACGAAATATTTTCTTTTTTGTCTGTAAGAAGGAATGAATAGATTAAGTTGATCGGACATCTGGCACATCACACTATCTTGATGAACGGCCCACATTTCTCAACCAAACAACGCCCAATGTGATTTGAAAAAAATTGATTGAAGAATTTTGGTTTTTTTAACTTTTTGGAATGTGTTAGTAGATTTCAAAGATAAACTCGCTGTGTGCTTTTATATTGCTAAAAAGTTCTTCAAACAGAGCTTGAAAGGCTCTTTTTGGATACATTGTTACCGCTATACGAAGTATTATCTTTTTCTGTCTGTGTGTCTGTCTGTAAGAAGGAATGGATAGATTAAGTTTATCGGACACCTGGCACATCACATTATCTTGATGAACGGCCCACATTTCTCGACCAAACAACGCCCAATGTGATTTGGAAAAAAATCGTCGAATCTTAATTTGATCTTCGTATTATATCAAATTCAGCTAATAATTAAATGTTTTCAGATACATACATTGAAGAAATTATACCGTTTATAAATATTGTTCACGATGTTATGACCAAGCCTAACATTTGTTTCCAGTTTTGATTCGTCTATATAGACTGATTTGTGTAAATCTATGCAGAATTAGTTGAGTGCATTACGTTAACCATTCTGCCGTTTTCTTGTGACGCTCTCAAGATACGTTCTGTCAACGTAGGAGCAGCAATAGCGTTATTGATCACCTTGCAATCTTAGAAAGAAATATTGTAATCTTAACAAAGTGCCCGACGATATATTTTTGTGAGGGGGGGGGTATGATATGCTTGTCCCTTCTTTCATCCATGGATACATTCGATTATTCCACCGAAATCAAATCTCCAGTTTTCCACTTTCCTTTTAGTTTCAATGGTGAACTGCAGCAAAATGAATAGGAGAACTAAGTTTGTTATCTAAAGCTACACAGACAATACTTTTGATTCATAGTTCTAATTTATTTATTGGAATAAGCTTGACTAAAATAAATCAATTCAACTTCTGAATATCCGCAGGGTAATTTACAATTTGAAAAGGTGAAGCGATGATAAAGCAAAGAGCAGCAATGTCAATTTGATCTGTTATTGCAACGCAGCCATAAAGAATTTTTCCTATGTAGAAACTTATTTTTTATGTAGAAAACTATCTTACGTATAAATTTGCCAGGCTTCCTTGATTCACATATTTTTTCTTGATTGCATTTGTCTATATTCAGGAACGCCGGAACGACCAAGGGGGCAAGGGGGGGGGGCAGGCTTGAGTAAAAGGGCATTCGAGAAATAATTCCCAGCTACTAACAATCTTTTCTTAATTGTCATTTTGTTTCGATTTTCTGTAGGTATCTTGAAAATCGGCTAATTTTTGGCATTAGAAAAATCTTTACAAGTTTTGAGACATGTCGTTAGGAATAAGGTGTATAGAATACGTATCAATGAGGTGTATAGAATACGTATTCTATTCACCTCATTGGGCGGTACAGTCAGAATTTCATATAAATCTTTTGATAATTACAAACGGCCGATGTCAATGGAACTTCTATGATAAGGGAACTTTGGCCCCCCTTGCCCCTCCTATCAAAAGGCATCAGGGGCGGTTGACCCCCCGTACCCCTTCTCCGTCCTCCATCCAGAATATTTTTCGCTCAATATTTAATATCTTGTCATAAAACCGAGTGCAATATTAAGGCTCGCCGAATTGTTAGTCAGATATGACTATTTTGCCAGTTTTTTTATCAACAATGTTTTTGGAAATTCTTTATATGATCGTAAATTTTCAATTTCATAAAATCAATATTAACACTATTTAGTGTTTTCCTGTTTATAGTACTGGTTATGTCGTTCCCATAGATACGAATCTTGCTATACAAAGTATTTTTGGCTGCAGGTATCAGGAGAAGCCCAAGACAGACAAAGTGTATATAAATGTCCTTACACACTTTTATCGACTAAAAGCACTGTTAAACCAACACATTCGTATAGTGTTTAAGATGCTGTGCGATTGATTGTTGCTTTTTTGTAATGAAACACAATTTGAGCATATCGCTATTTTTTGTTGGGATTTTTTTAGTAGTGTGTGCTGATAATGTTGAATTGCTGGACTTTGATCAAGACGAAGTTCTGAAATGTGAGTATCTTCACCTGTTATCATAACAACAATTTAGAATTACATGTTATTTTGATTTGCGCTTTAGATGGAAAATCTTCTAGCGATAGATAAAACAGTCTGAAGCTAGTTTTAGCAGACCCAAAATCGTTTCTACCAGTGACATTATCACGTACTTGAGCAAGGGTATTTCTCTTGCTTTTATGTCCTTTGCCGTCAACCACTTTCTAAATTTTGGCATCTTTCTTTTGTCCGGGGAAATGAAATTCAAGTAAGAATTTTTTAGCCTCTTATTTTGCCTCAGCAATGATAATCATGTTAAAAATTTTAGACCGTTTTAAAAAGTCCCATGTCTTCGACACTATCTTCAAATCCACATTTGTGTCGACAGCAATAATGCAAATGAGCATGTATATGCCAGTTTTGTCCAACTTCAATCTCAGCAGCAAACCCTAATTTGTTGCTATCTTTTATAATTTCTGTCTTTCTTAATCAGCATTTGACTTTGATCTGCTTGTCAGGTTGCATTTGCTATTTACATTGCCGACCCCAGGTTAGGACTTCTGTACTAAGAAATGTTGCTATCCTTTGTTATTTCTTCTAGCAGTTTCCCTTTGGGTTGGGACGCTTCCTTTTAAATATTTATCAGACATTTGCAGTCTGTATTGGTCTCTTTTAGGCCAGATCTTGAGGATCATGATTTCCAAAGCCCTGCAGACCCTGGGGTGGCTGCCTGTTTCAATGTTTTTGAGACAATGGCTGAAACAGCATCTTTTGTTTGGGAAAAAAATTTATCAGGCCACACAGCCAAGTTTTTTAAAAATCTGGTTGCTTCGCTCTGATCTGTCACCTCTGATTAGAATTTCTGAAATTGTTTGTGCATTGTTCAATAAGATGTCTTCTCTCTCTTTTCAAAAGGGATGGCAAAGTTTGAAAATGATCCGTTTTTCAAGTTTTTCGAGTCAGCCAGCACTGCTGAAAAACGGGAAACGTTCGATGATGTTTTCGAACGGTCATTTTATTCCGTCCAGGAAACGATGAATAACGGTTTGTCACAGAAATTCGATTCCCATATTCAATACTTTCCTGCCAATATTTTGATGATACAAGCCATGTACAAACTGATGAAACCAAACGGAGTTTTGAGTAAGGAAGGATTCTCTTATTATGGGTAAGTTAACTTTAGAAAAGCAAAGAATGTCATTATTGAAACATTAATCATCAATAAATCACCATTGTGGTGCGTGGGGACCTAAGCCTGCTTTCAGGATGATTTTTGAAGTAAAAGGAGGCGTGAAAAAGATGAAATAACAATTTTCAATAAACTGCCATTTCCGAATTTTTATCTAGGAGGGCACTCTCTCATTCAAAGTATAAGAGGCGGCACAACGCTGAAACCCACATTAAACATTTAAAATAAAGCCCCCAATTTTATCTATATGCTAAGGGAATCAATTAGTCTTTGAATGTAATTAACTTGATTATAGTATAGACTTATTAGAGACAATTTTTACTCTTTTGTTAGCCTTTTGTTATCCCTTGTTTATGATTAATACCGCTTCCACTCTGGCAATAGCCAACCTTTGCTTGGATATAATTGAACCAAAACCAAGTGCAACGTTTTGTAGAAATCAACAAACTGGAGCGCTGGGTGGAAATGGTATTAATCCTACTCCTGACTTAATTTTCCTTTTTTTTTAATGCTCCTTGAGTAAATGCTCCAGATTGGTTGTATAGCCTTCAGGAGTTAACGATTGAAGATTGAAGATATAGCTAGAGATTGTACCAATTATAAATAAAGAAAGAAAGAAGAAAATGCGCATATTGAAAATGATTCCTTGGTTTAGTTGATTCAAATCTGAAGACTGAATTGCAATACTTTTCAGTTCAAACTACACATGACTCAGTGTTCTGCGCCTTTTTTCTTGGGAAATCTATCTTTATTAATCATATTCTTTTGTAAAAGGATATCTCGTTGAATAATTATGTACTTCTACGTCTTTGCCTTAAAAGAAATGAAAAATATCAAGTTATAGTTTTCTGCAGCCACAAAATAGGCTTCGTATGCCCCTGAACTAAAATCAATTTGCGCGACTGAGCGAATGCACATTGGGGCATGTGCAAATTGAACTTCCTTATTTGCTGTGAATGCGCGACCATTCGCTGAGTAGTTCAACTCAGTAGAACGTCTGGGCGACTGGTCGCCTTCGCCGATTCGCTGACTTGTTGATTCGATTTCGCCAAGTCGCGCGACCAGAGCGAATCTAGTTGAAACCGGCCTTAAGACCCCTACAATAACCAATCGCATCCTCTCATTCCCTCGGATTGATGTGATTGGTTATTCGACTTCTCAAATAATGAAACTATCATTTCACTTTTGCAACCCTTGTGAAGCAACGTCTAGTTTTGCAAAGTTACTCCTTTTCTAATCACACGTTCCATAATCGTGTTCTAATGTTGCTTGGCGTTTTGAATCTTGTCATTTTGCTTTCTGTAGACGCATTAACACTGATGGTAGAGCGATGATCCTGTTCAACAGAGCATTCAACTCCGAGCAAGATCTTCTTAATGCCATAAACAGGTCTCAAGGAAAGCGCTTGTCAGATCAGCAAGTGGCAGTCGGCGATTTCGATATGAAGAGACCTCTCGTTGCCGTCACTAACTACATCTTGAGCCCGGAGGATCTTGAGAGGCTGAAAAGTTGGCTAAAGCATCAAAAGATGTTGACTGGTGGAAATTTCAGGCACTCTCTAAAGAACAGTCGAGTGATGCTGGTCATCAGTTATGCATGTTGTACAAAAACGATGATTTCACTGCTAAGCCCAAAGTACGGAACGATGAAACTCAAAGTCGGGTAGATACAATAGTATATGAAAAGTGCTAAAGAAGGTATGGAATGAATGAAAGAAGACAAAAATAAATTGAAATGAAAATATGATTAGCGTATTTCTTGTGACTTCTTGGTGCTGTTTGTCAAATAAGATGTCATGAGGGACTTACTCTAGTTCATTTGTACACGCCTAAGGTGAAGAAGGTTTTTAACTCAACCTTCATCCCCGATTACTATGCCGTCTCGTTGGCAAATTTTAAGTGCCACCCTGGAAACGTGGGTTCTTTGACCTATCAAAAACACAGATCTCAGGAAAGACCCCGCAAATACAGGCATTTGTGTAACCAACCATCCTTGCCTGAAAAGAAAATCCCAAGTACTCCATTTAACTATTAATTTCCCTCTTTAACTACTTTTCGGGCTATGTTCAAACGTGTTAGAGAGCTTTCAATACCGTTAGCACTCAGTGTGTTAGAGAGCTTTCAGTACTGTTAGCACAGTAGCTTCTGTCTGAATATTTCTCAAAATGAAGTCATCCGTCTTTTAAAGTTAGATGAATTTGATTTTGGATATTTTCGAACCAATTATTATGTTTGTCTGAAAATGTAAAGTGCGGGGTTTGAAAGAAAACAGCTATCCAGAAAAATGTTCATAACGAATTAGAACTTCAACACTAAGCAAAAAGCTAGAGGTTAGATTGATGTCAGGACTCAGAAACAAGTTGCTGAGTTGCTTAAACCCCTTCAACGAATGATTTAACAAGCTTTCTACCATTTAACGAATCATACCTCTTAGCATTTTAGTTTTGAGTGCTTTTAACCTCAAGTCTGCGATTTGTTCATGGACACTGAATATACGTTTAATATCGGTGGCAAACAGCTGATAAAAGAGCATTTGATAAATTTTCCAAAGAGACGTGACTGCTACAAAGCTGTCTGCAAGTTTCCTTTGCTGCATTGCGGTCTAAACAAACTGGTATGACATGCAATAGTTGACTGTTTGCAATGCTGTGATTAGAAGAGACTTTACACCTGTAAGCCAAAACAATCCAGCCACCATATCTGGTCATTCTCGTTGTTCTCTCAATAAGTTCTTTAATAAGTTAACATTCAGCTTCAAGAAAAAAGTAAATAAATCTAACTTCTTAAGAAACTTTGCTGACCTCTGAAAAGCACAATACATGACTTTTTTATGAATAAGCCAATTGGAACGTAACCGGCTCGAAAATACTGCGTTGAAACTATACGTCATCCTTATGCCATAGTTTACACTTGATAAAGGAGAACATAGATATTGGTGATTTTTAAAGTATTCGAACAAGTGGAAGATCTGTTGTATGAGACAAGCTATGTCTGACGATGAGAGTTACAAAGAGCTACTTATCAAGAAGGACGCAACGGAAGAAGATGAAGGTATTCGCCTTTTTTTGGATATTTTGAACCAAACTAGCAGTTTCTTACCAATTTTTTACCTTACAATTTAACATGGGTAAAATGTTTTAAATTAATCCGTACTACGGCAAAGTCATTATGGTGAAGAAACAGTAAATGCATTAGATTATATAAAAAGAGTAGATATATATGAAACAGTTATGTGATTGAACGCCAATGGTAAAGCGGCATTTTAGGCCCTTATTTCTTGCATGTCTCCTTTCAAGCAGCATGCAACTGCTAAAAAGAGATATGCTGTGATATAACCAAAGAGAATCCAGAGAGCGTATATCAATACTGCAATACATAATGGAAATTTGTATGAAGATTCAAACGTTGGTTAATGAAATTAGAGCGGAAATTGATTGCAATAATTATCTCGCCTGTAACTTCATTGCAAGGTAAAAATTTGACACAATCTATAAAGTTCTTCCATATTCGCTAGATCTTGAAACCTCTGTTGTATTGAAGGGGGGTTTGAGGAATTGAGGGGTTTAGGGGTTGGAGTGGCTTTAAAATTGACTTGGGCGTAAGTGCATGTTTGACATTGATGTTGATGATGTAAATATTTCATCAAGCATTTTTAAGATATATACTAAAGGCGTGATAAAATTCCTCGTTGCGCAAAAAACTACTTGCAGATCATTGTGTTTTGATTCATAGAACCGGACGGCTATACACCAAGCGTGCGCTGTCCTGTTCTACACCCTAAAACGTGTACAGCCTATTTTCACGATCTCTGCCTACAAGATATCGAGCTACGTTACGGAACAGCATAGATAGAGAATGTGCATCATTTCACTGTCTCTTTTCTTCTGTAATGACCATAACCTCTTTCTTAATTGGTGCCACTGACACGAGGTGAGCAATCACTGGAGAATAGTGGCTTTTTAAGAAAATAGGATATTAATTTCTTACTCGGAGAAAAAACATCAACAAATGCATTCCATCAATTAAAATAAAAAAGCTCCTTCAGAAGACGTTGCCACATCCCTCATCAAAACAGGTCTTGAGGCTACATTCCTTCATCACATGAAGCAACGTTGGGCCGTTGGTGCATCAGCACAAGTTGCTTCACCTAACCCATGCAAAAAACCTAATCTTTGACATAGCTTAATAGACTCAAGTACAAGCAGTTTAAAGTTCTGGGCAGGGAATGGACCAGAAAAGTTCATGCACCAGTCCGACCTTAGATACCTAAGATATGAGAGGGGAAAAGAAAACATGACTGAATTAAGAGCCTAGTCTTTCCTAAACGGAAAAAAACAAGAACTTGGAAAAGAATCCCATGATGTAAACAGGCCCTAGCCTAATACAATAGAATAAATAAGGGTTAGAAGAAACACACTACGCTTGATATCAAAAGGGGAGGGAAGGACGGGCGAAAAGAACAGCGTGGAAACAGCATACGAATGAAGCACGATTATTCCGACCCAAAGCAATTAGACACACCCATCTAAGTCAAGGGACCCACACTTTCATGCAGAAGCCCAAACTACAGAATTCCTTCTTCTCTATTATTCCCAATGGCATCAAAGGAGCACCTACGGACTTAAATACCAAATTGAAGCATGACAATTGACACCCAAATGAGAACAATACAAATAAGCTAAAATAAGAACCCCTAGCGAAATCAAATTCTACAACACCCCTCGTGAAATTAACTTTGATAAAATTTTATTTGATAAGCATCTAAAAATGCTATTATCGTTCAATTTGTTTGTTATAGATGCCCACGGTAGCAGCAGTTACACTGTCGAAGAAGCAATTGAGAAAATGGGATTTGGCTGGTTCCAAATAAGACTGCTGGCTTTGTGTGGTGTAGCATGGGTGGGTTTTTCAGAGCACTTAGATTATTAATCAATGAACTCCTTATTAAATTTAAATAAATATTGCAGCACTACTTGTTAATAGCAAACATCATTCTAGTTCCATTATGTAGCACAGCTTTGCATGAATGACATTTAGTAATTCAAGACAAATTTATGACAGATTATCGGAAAGTCACAATTTTGCTGAGAAGAGTGTTGTCCGTAAGGGCACTCATATCACCTAAAAATATTTGAACCAGCACTAAATGTGTACTTTTTAAAATGAAATTGAGAGAACCTTTGATCGAGCCATTTGATGAATCCATAGGTTTCTTGTATTTGTTGAAGTTCTTTTAAATACCCATATAGACTGCATAATGTCACCTAAAAAGGTTTAGTAGTTGACAAATTTGAGTGCTAATGTGTTAGTCATATTTGCATATTTGAGCCTTCTTGTTTTTTGCACGTATGTATGCAACTTTTCTTTAGTTTTTTTCCTGGACGTTTCCGATTGTCATCATAGTCTCATAAAAACCCTTAACTATTATAAATTTTCGTATGATGGACTAGTAAACCCTTCTGACAAGTAGAGCTTTTAAATTTGTCTTTAAAAAGAAAGTCACTCGTGCAAGTTGAGTTTATCAATTTGAGTATTTCATTACAGATGGCAGATTCAATGGAGATGTCGATTTTGGCTATTTTAGGTCCTGCAGTGCGATGTGAGTGGTATCTTACCCATTGGCACGAGGCATTTCTCACCACAGTAAGCATTGATCTCGTCTTTAAACATCTTTCTTCAAACTTCTTATGGAGCAGCAGAATCATTTTTATTGTGAACTTCAAGAGATATCTTTGTGATAACATTTGTCAGACTTTGAAACGTTCGGTGTGAGGAACTACATCCTGTTAGCTAGCCAACTCTACCTTGCTCCTATATCTCATATTTTATATTTTAAAAAAAACCTAATGAACTGAGAAGAAAATTAGCATGAATTCGAGCCTCAGTCTATAACTTGGATTGAATGTATAAATATCGAATGTTTTATATTCACTTGTATAGTGTCCATGTACAGGTAAGTTTCTTTGTGTTTGGTATCCTGGGTGCCAGAGCCTCAAAGAGTCAAAGGATGAGAACGTGGAAAGGAACTGCCAAGGAGAACGGAAAAGGAAAGGAGAGAGCCGAGGCTTGATCATAACTTAAAGGCAGATCATAACTTAATCACTGCAATCTGTACCATTTAGAAATTATATGCAACAACTTTATTGCTATAATATATTATGCTAACTCATTACTTTAGATTATGCTATTAGATTTTCGTGCAATAGCCAAATTTTACCCTGTTTTGGGTTATAATTTGTTCTCTTTTTATTAAAGTCAATTTTTTGTAAGACTGTTTCAATTTTAAACAGGTTGTTTTTATTGGGATGTTCATAAGCACATACTTTTGGGGATATATGGCTGATGCATACGGCCGTAAGACGGTGAGATATAGCGCTTGTTATTGCAACGTCCTAGCTATCTTTATGGGAATTATTTTCTAGATTCTACATGAAAATCTATCTTAAGATCATCTTTCTACCCATGCATAACATTATTATTATTATTATTATTATTGAATAAACGTTTGCTTAAAGGAACTCCTTTCATTAACAGATTTCTGCCCTCTGTTCCAAACATTACAAGGAAGGAATTATATGTACTATTGAATGGAAGATTTTGCCTTCATTGCAAAGCTTTAATTAGCTGTTTTAAGAAAAGAGTTAAAAGGTAGTTGCTGACAAAGTGCTAACCATTTTTCGAGAACCGGTCGAGTTTGTTGTATAAATATTTTTTTAAATTTTAGAAGATTCAGTTCTTGTAAATTATTTCTTTTTCCTCAGGTTGTCATATTCGCATCACTTGGTATTTTTTATTATGGACTTGTCAGCTCAATATCACCAAGATACATTTGGATTGTAATATTTCGTGGTATGGTAGGATTTTCAATGTCAGGAGTTGTACAAGGGTAAGGTCCTTTTGCCATGAACTAGATGTCTACGATTGTTGTTGCAACCTTTTAAGAGAATGTCCAAGTAAGACCCACAATGCCTAAATACTCAACAAATGACGTAAACTAAGAACAAAATATCTTTGTTCGAAACTGTTCTCAGAAAGGCCCAACATAGATGTTCTTAGACCTGGATGTCACAAACTAGGAAATATTCATCTTACACCTCTGTGATTAAACATGGGCTCAAGTCAAAAATTATCCTGAGTTTGACTTGGAACCCCGATTATGAAGAGCGACATTAAGTGAGTTCCATATTGCAACAAGGCAAAGCAAAGTGATTATTGAATATCAGACTTATTTCACAAAGTTATGATAATTGAAGCTCCTTCAGACTCTCTAAACTGAAAACTTATTGCTGGTTGGCCAGCTACAAAAAGAGAACAAAAGGTTTATTTTGGAAAGCAAATCTGTAGGTATCCACAACTGGGTTTATATTTTCCATCTTGTTCTGTCGGACCCTTATTATGACGTTTCATACTCGAGTTTTATACTCGTCTTATTGTCGAGTTTTACTCGGAGGAATTTCAAATGAAAAAGCTTTTAGTAGTATGTTGTGAAATGTTTGCTTATTTCAAAACCATTTTCAAAGCCAAGTTGTCTATTTAGAAAATCAATGTGTAATTCTATTGAAAACTGAAGAAAGCAATGAAGATATGCAATTTGTGTATAATTAGTTATGTTCCTCTTATATGGATTAAGCGTGACAGCAACATGAATAAAATTATTATTTTTTCTTGTAAAGAACGTATAACTTGCTTATGTTTAGAAATTTTAATTTATACATCGCTTATATTTCGAAATTTTTTATTTTCAATTTTTTCTCATTGTAGCGTAAATCGAATCATATATTTTCAGGACAACTCTTATATCCGAGTATTTACCAACAAAGGCACGAGGCCTAACGATCAGTTTTAGTAGTGTAAGTATGTTTCTAGAAAAAAATTCCATAAATTAGTCTGCAGCTACATTTATACTGTAAAGAAAATTTTTTTCATATCATTTTCTCTCAATTTTATCACCAGTGCATGAACATCTATAAAGCCTCTTCTCCTGGTGCCTATAATTTTACTTCTTTTTTCAGTGTTTTTGGTCTATTGGGACAAGTATTGAGATATTAACGGCCATGTTTGTTATGCCAACTTTGGGATGGAGATGGCAACTTTTCTTCTCATCGCTGCCTTCACTACTTTTTCTTTCTGTAGCAAAGGTAAGTTTAAGCGTAAATTTACCCTCCTTTAAGCACGAAATAAGCAGAAAAGCTGTATATTAGAGAAATGTTTCGATTATTTGGTAGAAAATAATAGCTGCTATCACCCTTTGCTTGCTATTCTCCACCAAGTTATTTTCTGCATGTATGTTAATGCTAGCGATTATAACTGTTATTGAGCAAAGGCCAACAGGGCAATTTACATGCGTACCGGCAACTACCTGACTGGCAATGGCCAGTAACGTTTTTACCATTACCATGTCTACGGACGGATGGTGCTAGGGTTTGAACGATGAAAAAACTGCCAAGCTGAAATGGGGCTCTAATGTTTTGTAGTACAATGGGCTCACGCGACATTCTTTTAATGAAAGGGAATAGGGCTGACATGCTCTGATAGAGGGGGGGGGGTGGGAGGGGTCTTAATCTTCTAGCCATCACTTGCGCAATCCTTACTCTCGAATAAATCCTTTCCAGAAGTTTGCTGCGACCTATGATTAACAGAAACAACATAGAATCTGTACACTTCGAGTTTCTCATAACAAAGCTCTGAAAATCAGTTTTTAGTTATCATTATATAAGATTGATGTGCAGAGAACCCTCGAAAAGCTAATCAAGAATATTTGGTTGAGATTCGAGTTGTGCATAAATGTAATACGTCGGCCATTTTCATAAGAAAAATCGGGACTTTTGTTCCTGTTAGAAATAAACAGTTTAAAACCTACCCAACGATTGCAGTCGTGTTGTCTGTAATTCAGAATCGATCTGAATGATGACCCTGCAATTATAAGTGCCGAGTATGTGGGGGTTCGGGGCTCGACCCCCACTGTGCATTCTACAGAGGGGATCAGTAGCCCCTGAGCCCCTGGCAGCTTTATTCATATCAGAAATAAAAAAGGTTCTTTGAGCAGTTTATCAGAAGAGCCTTTTTCGTGCATTTAATTCATTATGAAGACTTTGCAAATGACTTGATCTGCCTATTATGATATTTCCGTCTCGCTCCTTGAGGCTTCTTTTTGCCTGACCAACATCAAGCCATACACGTTTAACTTGGCATGCATTTGATTCCCTAGATGCTGCCTGAATCTGCAAGGTTTTACGTTGCAAGTGGACAGCAGGAAAAAGCCATTGAAATGCTCGAACTTGTTTCAAAGTTGAATAAAGAAGATCTTCCTGATGGTAAACTCATAGCTGCAAAAACCGTAAATTGGCAATTTTGAATTCCTCTTCCCCTTTTGCAGCAATTTTATTTTATGATAATTTGCCTATTTAATTAAAAGCAATGCGGAGCCACAAACTTCTGGATCCAGGAGAAAATTCAGATTTCAGGGTCAGATAGAAATTTTCTATTTATTCCTGGCTTTTTTCAAAAAATATATATATATCAAATCCTTTGCAAAAAGGTTACACCACTAAATCCAGATTTGTGGAGTTTATTTTCTATCAAGTGAAATTATAACTACGTCTAGAATTCAATGCTGGCCGCATCCACAGCAGAAAAAGACAAGCAATCACCTAGCTCCCACTGGAGATGTGACCTCAGATGTGTACAAGCAAATTTAAGAAAAGGCAGCAAAGAGCAGTCAGGAACGATAAAAAATGGGAAAAAATTAAATGTTTCAAAATAACGACAAGCAGCAATTCTTGCAAAGATATTCAGCATTTCCCCCTGTAAACTCTATATGTTAGCACGTAAAGCTGCAATGTGTTAAACAGCAAGACATGCAGGATATTCAAAATGACAGAGTGTATTTCTATATAAGCACCAATGGCAAGCACTTTTTTATTGTAGACATGCAATCGCGGAAGTATTATTGAGATGTTTAAAGGGGGAACCTGGAAAACAACTGTTTTGTTATGGATAATATGGTAAGTGACAGTCTTCTTTTTGCAAACGATTGAAATCGTGCAGATTTTTGTTACTTCTGGTACGATTGAACGTTTCAAGGACTTTCGAACTGGATTCAGCTTATGCTGTCTTAAAGTTAAATATTCAATTAAATTTCCCATTGTGAGGTGAATGAATTACTGCCACTGAAGATAATATCCTGTTTTTTCAAAGTTTGTTGTGTATTTTTCTCTGTGCAAAGATGGTTTCGTTCATTTTGTAGGTTTGGTTCACATTTCAACATCTATGGCCTTGCACTTTTGACCACCTCTTTGTATTCAAGTGGATACGCATGTTACGGTACTATTGATTTTAAACATTTCTATTAAAATACCTATTTTAAATTTTCAATACAGGAAATCTTTGCAAAAATAGACCAATGAACTTAAAAACCCAGAAACGGGCGTTTCAGGTTATTTTTAAACAGCCTATTGTAAGAACCTGCGACCTTCTTTTCCTTGCAAGATCCATGAAAAGCTCTCTTAAAAATTAAGTTGTCCTTTGCAATCGTTTGCTGCATTCTCTCCATCAGTTTAGAACCAAACTATTACTTAATGAATTCATTTTTTATATAAACCAAGCAAATAAATTTATGATACGGTGTAACAGCTTCTACGGTGCCTGTGACATGATTTTCGTACTTTTGGTTTTATATATCTATTCTTATGTAAAAAGGTCTGTTATTTTCATTTCTGAGGTTAGTTTTTACATTTCGTGAGAAATGAAGGAGTTATTGGCGATCTTCTACGCCAAAATTCACCATCTTGGTTTTCAGAATGAGTAGACAGTGACGTCACGGGAGGGAACCGATCGCCTCATCCTTCGAGTTTTTGTATCATAGTCAATGAGGGAAATCTAACAGGTCCAAGATGAGCGATATTTCCAGAGAAAGTAGTGGCAGCGAGGATGAGATTTTTTAAGGTAGCGCTCACATTGTTACAATAACGAGTTCCTCCAATGACGTCACAAGAGAACGGCGAATGATGATAAAGCGACTTGGCTAGGCCGCACTATTTTGCTTAATTTCAATATCAAAGCGGTTTTATTTCAAAAAAAAATTCAGATCTACTATAAGAGCAGTGTAACACTTTAATTAAGAGAATAAAAAAATCATGTCACAGGCACTTTAATAAGAAAACCAATCTTGCAAACAAAGCCTTTAACTGCAAAAGCAACAACCTCTTCATCCATAGCAACTATTTTTTCAATATCCTTTTCAGTTTCAATTCCCTGTTTTAAAGATGTATACCCATCTTTCTTGAATAACTTCTAACATCACTTTTTTAAGAAATTTGTTCCTTGGCTTACAATGCAAGCTTGAATCATTTTATATCAATTCCATTGTGTTATAAAAGTTTTTACACACCCATCTTCTGATATGAAATTTTGTTCAACCAACTACCTCTTTTGTATTCAAAGGTAATGCACCACTTCCAAGTGAGGATATCACAAACTGTGTTTACTGTAAAAGCCTTGAAAAGACAGACTACTTAAACTTCTTTTTGGTTCTGACTGCGGATTTCCTATGTAAGTCCTTTGTGAAGATACTTTACTTTTCTGAATTACATTCCTTTTGGTAATGACTTTCACAGTATATTCATAAACCAGTTTTTCATGAAAAAGGCTTCATTCTTTGAATTCACATTTTCCATGCTACCTTCAAGTCACCATTTGTTCTTCTAATTATGAATTTTTATAAATCAACATTGTCATCATCACTTTTATTGATTGCTTTCTTCGTTTTATTTTACTTTCGAGCAAAAAATAACCGTCTTTTGCCCCCCCCCCCTCTTCCCCACCTTTTTGTTTCATACACATATGACGTTTGGCTTACCAAACAGTTCTTTTTTATCAAAACTTCATGTAAAAGTCACCCAGTTCTTTAACAAGCACGTACAGACCTTCAAAATATCTCATCATTGTGTTTTATTCAAAGCTATACGTATCATTCAATTTAAACTAAACGTTAATTAATTTTAAGCCAGGAAGAGTAGTGTTAGTGGCTCAATCTTCTTCGAATGGGCTAATTAATAACAGTTGATTTTGCCTAAATTCATCAAAATTGCTGCTTGAGAAATGTTGACTGAAAGTGAAAAGTGAGAATGCTACCTTAGGGGAGGGGGACCATGGTGGAGGATGTTATAGGTAGGGTTTGATTGGGAATCGTTTTGCGTGAGCGTGCATTTGAAGCAGGAGCTAAAACTTAATTTTTACCAAAAAGTAAAAAAGCTACCATCTGCCTTCTCACCCAAAAGGCGCTACCAACTCGTAATGGCAATCGTTGGTATGATTTGATCAGATGTTTAATTAGTATTGCTAGTAGCATGACTATAACTTTAGTTATTATGAAATAAACAACATGTAGAAGCGATTTTGTAAACATCTTTTGCAATGCATAAATTTTGGAACCAATGTATGGCTTGGAACCTGCTTATTTAACTCGTTGAGTAACTATAACTGAGATTGACTGTCGTCACCGCGATGTTTTGTTTTCCTTCGGAATTCTGTGAATCACGTCATGGTACCCTAGCGATGGTTGTGATTTGTGACAAAATGAACAATTTTATCTCAGCTACTTTCTGTTTCTTCTCCTGTTTGCAGACAGCCCTTTTCTCTTTTATGCGTACATCAACGCAAGATAGCATGTAAACAGAACTTAATTATAATGTTTAGAATAATTATATAGTAATAAATAGCATGATTTCCACATCCAGTTTTTTCTCCTGTCCACAGCATCAACATTCTGATAAAGCCATGCATTGATGCACTGATATATCGTCATTCACTCTTCAGGACTTTTATAGACACATCTAAAACTTTCTTCTATTATTAAGTTTTCTTCATGTAGAATGAATTGCGTTACTATCTTATTCATGATGTGTTAAAAAGAAAACCTCGAGAAAAGTTTCGTCTATTTTTAAAACCAATTTGACCACCGCAATTAAGTTTTTGCGTCATTTCTAATCATCAATTTAGCTTGTTTCTTCTGTCTGTAAAGATATTTTTGGAGAAGGTTTATTTAATGCATCTCTCCAGCCATTTCTTCATTAAATCTTATCTTTTCATTAAGGACCCAGACATTTCTAATTGGAAGCGTAGCACGTTATTCTAGCTTTGTTCAAATGGTAATATTATTACGCAGCCATTATTGGCCTAGAACATAAATTTCACGAGAAATAGTCGTTCATCACTCTTTCTTCTTTTGTACGCTATGAAATCTATGTCAAATGTTTTATGTCTTTTAATCTCATGTAGTCGATCAGTAGAATTTGATGTGTAGACTAGAATGGTTCCAAGCTGCTGCTACGAATATCTCACTTTTCCTGGTGGTGGATAAAAGTTGCAGTAGCAACTAAGAGCCTTCCTGCATTACACATTGGCGATACCTATTGGTCAAACGTACTACTATGCAATATCAAGCCTTCATTTGGTGCATTTTGTGATGTACTTGGTTCAGCTACTTGTTAGAATCAACAATAAAAAATCATTTTAGCAAAAAGCTACATTAACGTTATTTATTATGATGTGAATAAATTTCCTACTAAAATTTTTTTCTTTATTATTCAGGTGTGCTTATCGTGGCTGCTTTAGCTGATACAATTGGCAGAAAGCGCCTCCAAGGGGTTGGATTCTTAGTAATGGGCATGTTCTACAGCATGCTGTATATCTGTACACGCAGGTAATTTTGATAGCCTCTAGACGTAATATTAATCTAGTCAATATGTTCTGTCTAGACGCTCTTCATATTGTGCTCTTATCTGTTTTGTTCTTTGCGATTGTTTTCTAATTTTATTTCACAAGTCAATCATTTATAGGAATTTTTCAACTACTTCAATTATTACTTTTGTATTAAGAAATTTGTTTTATTTTTAAAACTTTGCAAAGAATTTTATTCATGATGAATAATATATACAAACATATCTGACAATGTAAGATCGAAAACTAAATACTTTAAATTATAAAGTCCACTAGAATCTTCTTGTCCTAAATTGCACATTTTCCAGTGTCAGTTGTGAACAAGGTATAGATTTGAATATATGCCAAATATATGTAGATGTTTACATCAATCAATAGGTTTTCTTGTTTGTTTAACTTGTTGAAGTGGCTGGAAATATTCTAGAAATTTGTCTAAACTGCTTAAACATTTAAGGTGTTTTTTGCAACTTTAAGTATTGCAATGTTGAAAGTCATAACAGTGGGATTTAGACAACATTCTGCCTCTTTCATTTGAAGATAATATTTATAAACTACCTTAATGAATAAAGGTGTTATCAATTTTCTGGTCTACATTTAAGCAAATCGTGGACAACATTTTTTCTCTTTGGTGCAAGATGCTTTGCTGCTGTGGCTGATCTGGGTGGATACATCTACACACCAGAGGTTCGCATTTTGTTATCATTTTGATTAATTATTGTTTTGGCAATTCTATGTGCTAAAAAATCATCATTTGAAAGACGGTATAGAAATAGCATAATAGCAGAACCTGATCTGTCCACTTAGATAATTTTGACCGTTTCTAACAAGCCAAGTTAGTAGAAGTGAAACAAATTCTGCTTAGATTAAAACCTTTCATTGAAAAACTATCAGATCTTGACTTGATGTACCTCTTGTGGCCTGTCAATATTTCTCAACTTTAAGGTATTCTCGTTTCTGATCATCAGGTTTACCCAACACACATACGAGGCATGGCTTTGGGATCGTGTTCTGGAATTTCACGTATTGGTTGTATGCTTACTCCGTTTGTTGCACAGGTTGGAAAGACTCTCCCATGAAATTAAGCTGCATTTTTGATGTTTTTTATGCTTACTTTGTGTCTTTTGAGCTTCAATATTTTTGGACAACATCAAAGGAACAAGCATCGTACCAAATGCTTTTAACATGTTTACTCAATTGTTGAAATTGAAAACTTCGTCGCTAAGAAAAATATCCGTTTTCTCGTCATTCACGATGAACTAGTGGGACCCCCTAAACAGAGCATGCTAGCCGGTTATAAAGAAAATCCCTACAATGCAGAGTACTTTACAGTGGGATCCATCGATCATAAGACATTTTAGCCCCCCTCTCCTGATCAACCTTTTCTGGGAATTTCGGCGTCACATCTTTTCTGGGAATAAAATATCTCAAAAAATAATGAAAGAAGTATTAATGCTCTTGCCTTAGCATCACCATCACTTCTTTCAGAACAAATGGTGTTTTGCTTAAAAGGTTGATGATTTTCATTTTGACTCAGATCTGAAGCATTTCTGACAGAACTCTGTTTCTGCACCAAAAAAAGAGGCACCACACCTTCTGTATATATAAATGTTGTCATTGCTTTTTGTATTTTTCCCGTTGGTTTTAGGTTGATTTTTGTGCACAATTTCAGTAGGAAAGTTTTTTTTAAATTCAGGTTTTGGCTCACAAATCAATTCATTTAACAATTGGTTTGTACGTTGGTGTGTCATTAGCTGGATTTATATGCAGTTTGCTATTGCCAATTGAAACCAAAGGAAGAAAGCTTGTGGTAAGTTGGAATGTATTCATGACAGCATGTTAAATAATGTTTGCAACTCAGAGTTTTATGCTTAATGCGATCATCAGGTTACTGTTCTTGATTTTAATTAAATGTATGAGCACTTATGTATAATTAAATGTATGTCTGATCAGGAAGTAAAATTATTAAAACAACCTCCAATTATTAAAATTGATGTGCACCCGAGTCAAAGGACATCCTTTCTTTCTTCCCCCAACGTTTGTCACTAGAGTTTTGGATGACTCTTTCATTCCCCAATTGTTTTCAATAAACAATAATCTGTGATTTTCTGAAAACGTTGAATTTTTTATTCGGAACGGCATAGTGCTTTGTTAAATTAAATCTGGGAGATGCATTTTTAGCCTTTTTAGAAAGTATAGTTTCAAAAATTTCACTGCCCGTGGTACCGAAACCTCCTACGTCACTAAACTTGATTCTTAGCAAAGATCCGAATATTTTTGCAAAGATAACATCAACAAATGAATTTTTAATTACTGTGATTTTCCCTAAAGGTGTTTAAGAATTAATTAAAAGTTGATTTATGTCAAAGAAAAGAAAATTTGAGAGGAGAACATCAACATATTAGATTTTTATTTCATATTGTCACTTGTATTAAATTGATGATTCATTTTTGTCTATCGATGGATGTGAAATAGACAGAAGTCTTCTCTTTAATACGAACAAAATACTTCATACCTTAAATTTACATTTATTATATGCTCAATAAATTTCATTATTTATCGTTTTACAGGAAACTGAAGAATCGTAGTACAAAATTCAGAAATATTTAAAGTTTATTCAAATAAATAATAAACTGTTTAGTAATATTCTTCCTCTTAGGCAAGTTAATTCACATTCTGTCAATAGAAAACTGCTATTTTTGCAATTTTAGACTTAGAATTTCTGAAATTAACGTTGTTTTAAAATCATTAGCATTGATATTGATTGTAATTTTATTTTTTTAATTTATTAATATATTACTTCTATCTAAATATCATCTATTTATTTTGTTTAAATATAAATGCTTGATCAGGATTAGCGCTCTAAAACAATGCAAATTAAATTCAGAAAACAGTGCATTTAGGCAAGGCAAGATCTGTTTATATTTTCCTTGTGAAATACCCAGTTGTCATAAATTAGTATAAAGTAAAGAAAGCCACCGACACCTCAAACAGTCGGCTGTCATAAATTAGCCTCTTTGTAATCGTTAACTTAGGTCTACAGGGGCTTGAGTACTAAAATGCAGAATAACGGGCGATTTACCTTTGCAGAAAACCTACGAGATTACACAACAGTATTTCTTTGAATTTTTCTGAGAAAATACAGTTTATCTGTTTTTAATTTCTTCATAGGTTTATCCATATATTAATAGACAGCCTCTTGTACAAGACCATGATGTCATTAAGATTCATACGTACCACATCTAAGATGAAAGCCAAAAGGTCTAAAATTTTTGAAAGAGCCTTGAAGTACTAAAGTCCCTAATATTTTTAGTAAGCGTGTCCTTCTGTTAAAATTAACATCCTTTTTGAAAATTGTGCTCTTTTCTGTTTTATTAAAAATTCTTTACAATTTGTGTTGATTGCAGTGAATCGTATTTCATTCAAGGAAAATTTATAAGTAATAATGCTAGATCAAAATGATGAAAGTCTAAAAATAGTTAATTTCTACACAGAGTCCAGAAATTATTACTGTTCCACGGCTATGAGCTGGAAGGAGGTTATCCTACAGCGCAGTAGTTTTGAATTTTGAGCAAGACCAATGCGTAACTACCAAGCGATTGTACAGAAGGGATAAGAAAAATATGAGAAAGACGAGCAGGACAAAATTTCATATGGAGGAAGGTTAAGGCATTTTCTGAACTCTGTTTTTCACGATTTTGTTAAATCATTTTTACTGAAAGTAGTCGGAATGAAATTGTGGTCGTTGAAAAAATTTGGCCAAAATTTAAGACATTGATAAAGTTTTGTCAAACTACGAACAAACCATCCTAACTGCACAGTCTGACCAATGGCTTCGAAATGGAGAAAAAAATTTCCTAATTGTGTTCAATCAACTTTTTTTGCTAAGGTTGTGAAATTACATATTATGTTTTCTGCATGCTACTTAGAAAGTCAGAAGAATAGATCTATAACTTAGTTCCCCTTAACTGTTGTTAAACATATTACTAATAATACGTATTCAATACTAAATGATATTTACATATAATATTGTTATACAAATAACACTTTCAGTTTCTGGCATTCTTTTCCATGATATTTGCTCCATGCTATTAACTGACAATTCCACAATATCTGTGCCATATTTCCGATATAATAGATATATCCATGTTAGCAGGGAAGGTTGAAAATGATTTTATGAAAAGTCAATACCGTTTCTGTTTGCTAACAATTAATGGTTTTTACTTAGCAATTGGGTTTTTAATGGCAGGATCATTGATGTCTTTGAGCCATATAAAAATCTTGGAGGTTTCTTTTGTGTGGCTCCATTTGTTTTGTTTGTTGGTGTTCGGTTTATTGGTGTCAAACAAACAAGCAAAAAGCATGCAAAACAGATCAAATCATCGACTTTCCATGCAATAAAATGCTCACCAAAAACTGACTTTTCGTTGTTGGTACTGCTTCCAAACCTAGCATTAAAAAAAGTTACATGCTGCATTTGTCACACGAGAGCTCCGTGTTTTAAACTAAAAATATTTACATTTAGTTGCCTGAGTAACCCGACAAATGATTTTTAATTGCTGGGTATATTTAAGATGTATGGAATTTCTAACTTGTGCAGACATTGTTCCTTGTGCCAGAAATTAGTGGATAAAACCATTATAGAATTGACTGCACGCGTATTTTGATTCCACCTACAGGCTCTTTTGAAGGTTTGAACTTGATCTCTCTACCCCACTCCTTCACCAAAGATACCTTCAAGTTTCCCATGGTGAACATTTTACATAGAGCTAGGCCTTACAGGTGGCTTTTCGATGCAGAACAGTTTTTTCCAAAAAGTTAATTTCCCTCTATCTAAGACAAACAGAAAACCAAAAGGTGCCATTTGCAGTCAAGATTCGCTATCAAAAGTACCTTTGGGTGCGTCTTCTTTTCCATTGTTGAGATCAAAATGCATTATTAACGCTTTGCAAATGATATTATACTCTTTTCTAGAAATATATTTATTTTTAATCGTAAGTCATTTAAGGTAGAAAAAAGCCCGCGTCTGTATTGATTTATGACGTTAAAAGATTGCTAGTGATACGAGCAATTTAAATTCGGAGCCAGCCTTTAGAGTTAGAGATCAATGTCTTTACAGAGATAGCACTATTGTTCTCGCTTTTTCTCGTTGCTTTTCTAGCAAAGTTTTGATTTCATGCGTAACTGCATTATTTGACGTTCTGCATTTCTGTTAAAAGAAATCTGTATGCACCGGTACTCATAATTATTGCACTCCCTCCTATGTTTACACGGTTCAGTGGCCAGCAGGTTTGGAGGTAGAGATAAAAACAATGTTGTTTTCGAAGTGGCCTAAATTGGATGTTTAAAATAAGTGCAAATTAACACAAATTGCCTTATGTAGACCACTTGTGGTCAACAGCAAGGTACTGCTAATAGCCTAACTTAATGCAATTGCGAAAAGAAGATCTTCATAAAAAGGGTCGTAAGTAGACTTTGGCTTCATATTTCATCTTACTTTATCAAGAAACATGAAAGCTATGTTGAAAGTAATCATATGTTCTGCTCATTAAACCTCTTCTTTATTTTCTTTAACCTAGCATAGTTTAACGACTGAAAGAGAAACCTTCAAGCTTTTGTTTTTATGATATAATGATTCACCTGCTTTAGATATCATGTTTGTGAAAGGGAAGCTTGAAAACAAAACCTCCAAAACCCGTTTTTTTCAACACGATTGATATAATCAAATATCTAAACTTATTGTTTGTTACAAACTTGGCACGGAATAGAGAATCTTTAGGCAGCTGATGTCCTGAAATAGCTGTTAGAAGTAAAAATTTGCTTATAAAAAGTAAATTAATATGGTATAATGTAATGTTCTGAAGATCTTATATCAAAACATAAAAGATAACGGATAATTGTCAGGTTCTTTATCGTATGTTGTGAATGCACTTTAGCAACAAGATTCTACCGTCTTGCCGTTTCTTACAACAAAAAGTATTAAGAGAACAATAATGAACGGATTAAAATATAAAATATGTCTTGCAATGGCTGTCACATGGCCTGCTCACAAAAAGGATGTCACAAGGAAAAGCCACCATTGTATATAGCCATTTCTGATATATCTAGCTTCATCATTGTGTCTGCAATAATGACCATAAATACTTGCTTCTGTATCACTGTTAAAATAATGATGAAACAAAATATTTTTGGTTACATACATAGCTTTTTTATCTTAACAGAAAAAACTTCAGCAGCATTTAAAGAGTTATGCATCTTTGGAGGGTATTAGTCATGCCGTTGCTGGCACTTTTTGTTCCAGGTTTGTATGCATTTCAAATTAAATCCCCAATGAGAGAAAGGTCTGACCCTTTCAGGTAGAATTCAAACAGGGAACAGCTTGTATGTCTGATAAAAAAATTAGTTTCTAAAATCAATATTGGCAGGCTGCAGAGATGTGTATTTCATAAAAGATTACTTAGGATTTCGTGGACAGAGCATGTGTCAAATGAAGAAATTTTGACAGAGCTTTAATGAGCACAATCCGGCAGAGTCACTTGAGTTTTTTGAGGCATGTAAGACCAATAGAGTTTTGTGGAGAATCATGATCGCCACCAAAACTCGCGCCCTCAGAGGAAGAGAGAGGAAGGGAGGGAATGAAAAATGCTAGGACAGAGCATGGATATGAAAGATTAATGTTTATCCTGCCCTAATTTTCAAACATTACAACATTTACTGCGAATCCTACCTAGGATTGATGTGAACACATCAATATTCTCAAATTTTCATTTGAATATTTTTTACATCTCAAAGTTTAAGTTTTGCTCCTCTTCCTATTCCTTCTAATAAGACAGTCAAGTTTGCACTCAGATCTAACGTAGAAAATGCGGATATACCATAGATATTTGTGTTTTGTGTTTATAGTGTGCTCAAAAGATGTTCAGATTATCACATATTGGGGCCAGAATTCAGCCTATGGAGCGGATAGCCGTGAAGAGCGAGATCTCGTCGACATATGCCGTGAAGATTCCCCGTATGATATTGTAAACATTGGTTTCGTAAACAAGTTCTTCGATCCCATGAATACAAGTAGGTTAACACGAAATCTTGGTTTAAAACACCAAATATTTGCTTCTTTTTTCTGTTGTTTATAAACCCACAAGCAATACTAACTAAGTAGTTTGCTAATGGTTCTGAAAAACCTGATATTTTGCCTTTTCTAGAAACAGAAAATAGGAATATATTCTGATCTTTAATTTTCTTTTCGTGATGACATTTTCGCTAGGAAAATTTGTGTTTCTCAAGCTATGCTTCTATTGTTTGTATAATAAAAAATGATTATTTGTTTCAGAAGCCATGTGTTTTGCCAACCTTACCTTTTTAACCTTTATAAAATCATCTTTATTTGTGCTTAGTTTAAATTCACTGTGTTAGACTCAGCTTGAATATTTCAACTAAGCATTTCATCGATTAAAGTCTTCCTTTCGATTTAATCAATTTGGTCCTCAGGAAACTTTTTTCTTTGTTTGTGCATATCGATTTGAATAATTTTTGTTCGATAAACCACAAAGGGTAATTATTATTAGTATAACTTTGCTGACTTTTTAATCCTTTGTTTACCTGCTTCAAAGTTTTGCATTTTTGACATGCGAAAACAACAGCATGGCAAATATTCGTGTTCCAACGCAAAGCGTCAAAGTACATTCGGAAGGTTCTCAGCATGAGAAGTCTAAAGATAATTTTTTTCAAAAAAATGGATTTGATGTCAGTCAAATTATGTTTTATTACAATAACGACTTAAACTATAATTAAGAAAATATGAGAATCTCAGTATCTACAACAGAGCTATGTGATTAGTGGCTGTGTAATAAACAGCATTCTGAAAAAAGTGACGTTATCTTAATTGGTTGGTACATCACAAATGCAATGCCGTGGGAAAAGTGGCAGTCAAAAGACAGATTTATCATTGTCAATTTTTTGACGATTCACTAAATCTCAACCATGAAACGTAGCAGAATTAACAGGTGAGAAATCTCCATGATTCAACTGAATACAATTAAGGTTGCAATAAAGAATCAAGGATAGTATAATCCACGTTGGTTTCGAGAGGCAAGAGAATGTCATTTTGAGAATCTCACGGCCTGTAGTGAGATCACGTGTTTGTTGCGAGTCTATCGTGTATATAATGTAACCATCCCCAAAATTTGGGGAAATCTTTGTCATAACAAGGCTTGTCTCAATGTACCACATTCGGGCCTATGCTCCCCCTGTATGTTAATATAGCACCTTAGAGTTCAAATTATTTCAAAAACTGTAACTTTCAATCACGTGGAGCCATAGATCACGTGGAGCCAACGTGTGATACAAGGCTCATTCAAACGCATTTCCTTACTGATAATCAAGTAACAACAAGTGCCAGTTGACAATTTTCTAAAATTTTGACTTCAAGGAAAAGAGTTTACTATCGATTTTATCCTGAGTCGTCTTACATTGACTGAACCAACATATCATAGCACAGATCTTCACTATTACACGGAACTTTTCTTTAAACCCAATATTTCTGACGAATTTCCGATGAAAGAACGCTGAATGGATAAATGAATTCTGAAGCCCTGAAGATACTTTGAAAGGGAAAGGATATGTTTCAAACACGTACACGTACACGTACACGTACACGTACACGCTTTTTCTAGCGAATTCCACAGAATATCTTAACCTTGTGCAGCTGAATAATATTCATTTTGTCTTAACTAACCATGAAAAGTATTATTTTTGTTCCCTAATTCCATCCATATTTATCTAATTTGTCATTATTCATTCTCAAGCAGTCAGATGTTTGCTTTCCCTTTCTAAACCAAAAATAATGACGACAAAACTTTTTTTCTTCAGCATGTATTCTAATGAATTTGAAATCTCTAGAATTGTACATTAAGGTATCTGCTTGTACTTTAAAATAGGATTGTTTACTTAGACTTTTGGTAGCATTAAATGTATTTAACTTTTACTCTCATAAATGATAGACTAAGAGTACCAGTATTTTCTCATCCTTCCTTCAGTGTCACGTATACCTCCTTTCGCTTCTTTGATCCTTATGTTCACTTTTCTTTATCCTTCTTTCTGCCTTTCTCGTCCTTCATTTGGCCTTTTTTCGTCATTCCCTCTTCTTTTTCTCTACCACCATTTCTCATTCTTCCTTCCACCTTTTCTCATCCTTCCTTCAACCTTTTCGCATGATTATTCGCTACCTTTTCCTCTTTTCTCATCTATCCTTTCGACATCATTTATATCCAAAATAAATTTTACCTTCCCATCCGCCTTTTTAATCTTTCATTTGCTCTTACAAATTCAAATTTAGGGCTTTCGATAACAACTGTTCCTGTGTTTCCGGGCTCAAGAAATGGCGTTTTACAAAAGCACCAATGATCTTTGCAATTTGTGTTAAGGGTTTGTTTGAATCCAATATTTCAGAGTTTTGTATACATTCTGATGTATCAAAAACGTTCAATATTACACAAGCAGTTTCTTTTAGATGAAATGCCTGGTATGGACTTTGCTGGCCACTGTAATACACCTATTGACGAAAATCACAAGACAATCTACAGCTGTCCTGTAATTGAAAGAGGGATTCGAGAATGCCAGCGAAACGGAAAAAAGGTTCTCATTGCAATTGGTGGTCCAAGAAAAGAGGGGAATTTTGACAGTGTTGCTCAGGCGGAGAAATTTGCTGAAAATATCTGGAACTTATTCTTAGGTGGCCAAGAGATGCCAGATTTGAGACCTTTCTCCAGGTTTGTTTCTGAGTCTTCGCTGTTTGCTTCCGTTATCAATGTTTTTATTGTTAACAATGAAAATCCACATGGCTTGCTTCTTTATAGAAAATAAATGTTCAAGAGGTTAGAGAGCATTGATGCTGTGCTGAGAGTTTGCTACAGGCACCCAAACCTCTCTTCCCTCCACCCTTCGTAAAGTTGCAGTTACCAGGTAGCATTAGTCGGGAAGTTAAATCCTACAAGAACAGGGTTAGCATTCTCTCTCAGAAACATGTATGGTCTCAGGACCCTCTCTGCCTTTCGTTTGTCTGCCGTTTTCAGTGATTAACTGGCAAAGGATACTGGGATGCAATAATACCCGTGGCTTATCTTTCCACTCGTACCCACTCCCCCTTATCTCAGCTGCTGTAGATAGTCCTTATCCAGTTGATAGTTGATAGTCCAACGGATGGCACTAGTGTTGAAGTTCTAGCAACTTGGTTTCAACTTTTTTATAAAAGGTTTTTCCCCCAGAGTCATTCAGCAGTAGTGACCGGTTGGTTAAAGGTATTGATAACTTTTTCTCGTCAACAAAGAAGGCACATGTTTGTAAAATGAGATTTTCAAAAGCCCTTTCTAGACACGGCTGAACTTTTTTTATTGTGTTTATGTTTCAAACATATAGCTATGAAATAGAAATATGATAACAAACATTGAAAAGTTATCCTGCTTTCTTGCGAACGTAATCTGAATAGAAACTTTAGAAAAGCTAATACTTGTTATAGGGATACGGAAAACGCTGATGCTTTGATGTTCTCATTATTATACATTTATCTACAATAGATAAAATACATCTATAGATAAAGACTTATTTAAATCAATTTTTATTATGATACCTTTGTGATAAAGAAAATGAAAGTAAATATTGTTTAAAATTTTGTTTAAGAATGTTTATATAAAAAGTGTTTTCAGGACTAATCAAGAGAAACAACATTGGCCACATAGGTTTTACAGACCCTACATCTGCATAAACTTTCATTCAGCTTTTCTTATTTTCAAATTCATTTATATTCTGAGAATCGTTACATTTCTTTAATTGATTATCCCAGTCTACACCCTAATGATATCACTATTAGGTCTTTCCTCTCACGACTAATAATTGTTGTATCCGACCAATTGTTAATAGAAGTCTTTTTATCTTTTTGCTAGTGCTATCTGTGACGGAGTGAACCTTTACATTCCCGGTGGTTCATATATAGGCTATGCCGCCTTTGTGCGCCATCTTTACTTCCTGGGTAAGCGTGACAGAACGAGGCGATACATAATCACCGTTTCACCTTCTTGCAATTTCCCGGATGCTGTTCTTGGCCCTGCACCCAACAAAGCACTTGATATTGCTGTCAAGTACATCAACCAAGTACGTTATAATCTTTTACATTGCCCAGAAAGCTACGAGCTTTGATTGAATTTTTACAAAAACGAGGATTGAATATCTTGTATTATGTCACGCACTGAATTACTGGGTGCACTACTGTCAACTAATTTTGCAAAAATTTAACTTGTCTTGTTTTTTGTTCTTGTTAACTTCAAAAGATATTAAAATTTACCATATATCTTCCATTATAGCCTTTCATGAAAGCTTTTTATCTTAGATCTATGTTCGTTTCTATGGATCAAATTGTGGTGTAGCCTCGAACTCCCAATTTGAAGAGTCGATCGACTCATGGCTAAGCTTTGCCCGAAGAATGTTCCGAAGAGATGGAACATCTCCTCTTGTGTTTTTTGGTGTCCCTGCACTAGAGAGAGCCTCGCCAGTACAAGGATGCTATCAAACTACAAAAGATCTACGTGAACTTTACCAGGTCTGTATTTTTATTATGTACGAAGAAGTCTATTGCTGATCCAAAATAAGCCTTTCACGCCATGGTATGCTGAAATCACACATGTCGAAATAGAAATTCTTATCTTCCCCGAGTACTGCATAATTTAACGTTGGGTTGGCTAGACTGGATAGACTACCAACATCGATTTCGCAAAGATAAGTAAATCGAAATAATTTTTGGTTTAGAAAAAATGCTATGCAAAACCTGTATGCAATCAAATAGTGAGGTGAGGATAGTTTCTCTTTCACTCTTAATCCACGACAGGGAGTAGGTATTCATATTAAAAAAAGTTTGAAAATTCTCACAGAAGATTTGTTGTATCGATGGTAGCAAGTTATTGACCCCTGTACTTTAGCAATCGTGGGGAGAGTGTCTACCTTGATGTCTTTAACATTTAGACAGGGATGAATTTGCGCAAACAATATGTCATGTCAAAAAGTTTCATTCAGGATTAGTCATGTTGATAGGTTTCTCTTGGCAAGAGAAGGAATTTTTATATTTTTTGTACATCTGGTGATCACTTAGCACCAGGGCCGTTGCTACGGGGGTGGGGGGTGTGGGTGTGTGACACCTCCCAGATCCTAACCTTGTTGGCAAATCTTCGAAAATGGAGGTTTTATCGGCAATCTCTTGGAAACTGGCCAATTTACAGAAGAAAGACAGAGAAGTTTACCATTTTCAAATAGATATTATCGGTTGTTGATGACAGCACCATTCACTATTGAAAACCTAAGAAGAATGATTGATGATCGTTCAAACTCACTCATGCTAAAGGCCAGGCGCGGTCTGGCCCGAGGGGCAAAGTGGCGATCCCAACCGGGCCCTCAGACAAGTAAAGTAAAGAAAATTACGGGCCCTTTCTGCAAAAGTTAGAGTGGATAAGATAATTTTCATGAAATCTGTGCGTAGAGTTTTCGATCTATGTTCTGACGTTTTAAACTCTGAAGAGTGTCAGACGAAAAGCTTTAGTTTACTAAATGTTTGCTTTTTCAAAGCCATTTACAAGTTTTGTACCACCAAAAGATTGTTTACAAAGACAAATCTGTCCTACTTCCTAGAGAAATAATTTCGAGCTGTTGTTTTTAGGTAGTTGTCGGGAGTCGCAATTGTTTAATTTCTAGCTAATAATGACCTTCCATGCATGATCGAACGTTCCCCAGGGTCATATCACTTTAAGGGAAGAAACTTGCGAAGGAAGAAAGCTTTTTAAATTGAGAAATTTTTGGAATCAACTTTGCAAAAGACGCGAAATAGGACTTTTGCAAAAACAAACTTTCTCGTTTTAGTTAAAATCATCAACTTTGCGTGAAAAACATTTCTATTCAATTGAAGTTTCCTTCTATTTTTATTCCACGTGATACCAGCAAAACAACGAAAAAGATGTCAAAATTTGTCCAACAAAATAATTCTTCGTCAAAGTTTTCAAGAGGATCAACAGCAGAATTTTCTGGATATTTCACAAGAATAAATTTTCGCTAATTTAGTATTTCAGGAAGTTTCGCGTATCAATCATCCGCGATTTTAGGCCATAAACGCTAAAAAACGCTAAAATGATAATTATAATCGTTTAAGAACCACGCCTATATCTATTTCCACACCCATTTTGTCGGCAAACCACTGGTTTCGCAACCCCCCCTCCCCCCTATGAAAATTTTCTAGCGACGGCCCTGCTTAGCACATTCGAAAACCCTTGTTTTTTAATCGACTTGATCCTAACCATGGATAATTTATGAAAGTTTATCCGTGATTAGGATGTGACTGGGCCAATTCTCATGACTTCTTAAAAGCAATGTGATTTTTCTATAATGTTTTCGTATACTTCAATAGCGGTAGCTTTCTTACATCAAATAGCTTTCATAATCTTGTAAGTTTGTATGCAAGTTCTAGCATTTAGTTATGGCATATACTTTTTAAGAAATGAATTTAATAATGCTGTTTCCAGATTGAAGCTGAGGCTTTATAGCTGAATCTGTCTTCAGAGCCATGAGCATAAAAAGAAAATTCAAAAGTTTATTATCTGAGTAAATCTGATAGATAGTTGGCATCTTTAAGATACTGAAGTAAACAAATCGGTCATTGCCATCCTTTGAATAGCAATAAGGTTAAACCAATTTGTTTAAACAGAGGTTTCGAGAGGAAAATGTATTTGGTGGTTTCATGGTTTGGGATTCTTCTTGGGACCAAACTAATGTACAATACGGAAAGACGTTTGCAGAAAGACTATATGCTACGATTGAAAACGTTCCAGAGGAAGACACAGAGAACTATGATGAAGATGAGGAAGAAGAGAGGCCAATCGAGCCCCCAGCCACTGAAGCAACCACTCCAATAACACTTGCGACAACACCAATTCCTGAATCAACTCTCGAGCCACTAGCACCTGAAACGGCTCCGACATCAGAACCTGCACCACCGCCAACACCACCTCCAACGCCACCGCCGACGCCACCGCCAACGCCCACAGAAGGACAGGAAGAATCGCCAGACGAAAATCCATATGGTAATGAAGATGAGATGGAAGAAGGCAATCAGGAGCAACCACAGGAAGAAGAAGAAGATCAGGAAGAACCGGAAGATACCCCTGAGCAAGAAGCTGCAAAGGAGCCGGAAGAGGAGAACAAACCGGAAGAGGAACAGACTGATGATGAGGAGAATAAAGAAAACGAGGAAGAAGTTGTTGATGATCCATACTCACCCAAGCCGCCTGATATGGAAAACCGATTTCCTCAAGGCAATCCCCAAGTTGCCGAAGATGGCAAAGCATACCAGGAAGAAGAAATCCCACTAGCACACGTACGAGAATCGTATACCCTTCGTTACTATTTCCAATTCTAAACTTTTGTTCTTATTATGTTTCCTTGAAAAGCAAGTTGCATCACTAGTCAGGATAAGAAGGAGGGGATTTTTGCATACACGTAAATAAAAAAATTTCACTTCTCTGTCTTTCGTAGCATGTTTCAAGTCATGAAGAAAAGAGCTGTTTCGTATCAAACTAGTATATATAAGAAATTTGTTGCATTATTGTCCATATTCTTTGGGTTTTAGGCGGCCAAGTTACTGGCTGACAAGGTTGAAAAAGAAATACGACGGAAAGAGTGGCTCCGTAAACAGAAGCTGCAATGGCACAAAACTCACCACCAGCAACTCATTCAAGGCAATGTGGCTAGTCCAGTATCGACATCACCGCAGACTCAACAATCTGCCTATTTACCACAACAGCAACATGCAACAGGGTATGGCACCCAGACAAGCAGTGCAGTGCAGCAGAATAGTGTCCCTCAGCCATTGCAGCAGCAACAGTTTCAGAAGCAGAGTGATCTTCCGCAAATGAATGCTTGGCCAAACCAAGTTTCTAGCTATCCATCGCCCGTCGCACAGTACCAGCAGAACACTGCCGTGCAACAAAGTTCTGGGCACCAAACGCAGGCTCCTGCACCTCAAACGCAGGCTCCTGCACCTCAAACGCAGGCTCCTGCACCTCAAACGCAAGCACTTGCATCACAAACGCAAGCTTTTGCACCACAAATACAGGCTCTTGCACCACAAGCTCAGCAAGCAGCACCCTATCAGCAACAGTCTCGATTAGCGCAAATTTCAACTAGATATCCGCCAATGCCAATGGGCTTTTTCGTCAAACATAAAAAGCAGAATAGAATCGTCGGGTTAAGAAAGTCGGGCCGTCATGAAGGGACGCAGACAGTTGAGAATGTAATCCGAAGTATGGAGATGGAACATTATCCAGAAAACGAAACTTCAGGTTCCGGATCCGATGAAGTTACGTCAGGTTCAGGGTCTGAAAAGACTATATCAGGGTCCGGATCAGGATCAGGAGAGAAACTACAGAAATAGGATAATTCAATATTTCATAATTTTTGGATACCGTAGAAGCAAAATTGTATGCAAGAAGTTTTGCCGGATTGAATGGCAAAATCAACAGGTCATTTTTGCCTGAACTGTTTATTGTATCGCTTTTTAGTGAGATAGAAAAAGTTGAGACTGGATTCTTGCTTCGCTTTTAAGCAAAATTTTGCCTTCATGGATGTTCTTTATCTAGAATCGCTGCAGAAACAAGTTTTCAGGAAAGAGCAAGCATTTGGTCACAGTGTATACATGTTTACGTGTTTGCATACATTATGAAGAAAACTGAACATGACCAGCCAACACCTTTTTCAATTGTAAAGTCTGGGAATCGAATGAAGTATTTTGGAATTGACATTTTTAGAGCTATCATTTCTTATATTTTTGATATGAGAAGTTGCACTTGGCTGGAAAAATGTAGTTTGCATGTTATCTCGAATCTCAAACGTTTAATGAATATATCATCAGAATCAGCTGCTGCAAGAACTGCGGCAAGTTGGAGTTGACTGACGTAGGAACTACAAAAGGGAGGAACAGAGACATGGAAGCAAAATTCCAAATTAATGAACGTCCTAAACAATGTTATGCTCCAGTATACTGTATGTAGCCTGTTTACTGCTGAGAAAACGTTCTTAGAAGCCAAAGTTTTGCATCTGCTCGGATGCTTCCCAGGATGCAATCAGGGCATGGTATACATCCGTAGTACAAAGGGAAGCAATGAATTTCAGGGAAGATTCATTGCAGCCAAAGGAAGGTATTGAAGCAAATTGCAATTCTACGATTGGAGCTACAGGCATATTTCCAGCAACTTCTGAAATTTGATTTATTAAAACCCTTGATTTCTTCTGCCGTTGAACACCCTCCTCCCCTCCTCTCTCTCTTTCTCTCTTTTCGATATTTTGCTAGTGGCAATTTTAGGCCATTTTTTATTGCAACAGTGTGAGAAAAGTCACTTTTTGTCTTCTTGTTTGCTATAATTCATGTTCATGTCTAATGGCATAGAAAAAGTTAATGTTAATCAAGGGAATGAGATTTTTTTCAAAATCAAGCCATTTCTCACGGTCTACAATCACTTTAATTTGTTGTTGTTTGACGTGATTAATATAACGAAGCAAATTCGGAGCGAACATGATTTTCCTAAATTAACCGAAAATGTCTTTCAATGCGTAAGTATCATTTGAAATGAGAGAGGAGAACTTTATTATGCAAAAGTTCATTTGCCCATGATTGGATATTGATCAAGATTTGTTTAATCTCTTCTGCAGTTTATTCCATCTTGCAGTGCAGACTGTACCTTTTCGAAGTTACGTAACTGGGTCCTCACCATTTCCTTATTCCTCATGCAACCTACAAATCATCTACAATAATATGCCCCGTGCAAATATTCTAAGATGTTTGGCTTTAACAGTGTTAACTTCTGTGTCCATTTGACAACCCAACTTCGGTCCCTAATGACTTAGCATATTGTTTCCACATTTCTCTGTGGTATGAAAACTCGCAAAGATTCAACTGTTTTCTCCAGAGCCGTTAAACTAAATGGCTTGTCGAAGTTGCAAGGCCTTCAAAGCAAGGCCAAGGCTCTCATGTTTCAGCGAAAAGGTGACTCAAAGCTTCATCAAGGTACTCTAATGCATTTATATGCTGCTAATTCTGGTTATGTGTTTCAAGAATAGATAAGAAACACAGGAGTGTCGTTAAATATAGCTAATTCCTTTTCCGTAAGTATTAAATAAATATATCCAGAACAATGCAATGTTAAATCGTCGCTCTTTTACCGTTAAGTTTTTGTACAGCAGTGAATTATCTTTTCTGAAAGACTACAAAACATTTTGATACTTCAAAGGATAATTTCTTCTCATCGAGACATTGGGAATATGATAAAGCTACAGGCTTTCATAAATTTTGATTTCTGATGCAGAGTCTGAATTTTTTCTTTAGTTGTTAGTCTAAATGATTCCAAAGAGACGGCTTAATCCGTATTCAATAGCGAGACACTTGTCTGTTTACGATAACTGATTACGGAGGGTCAGGAATCGGGGGCTGGAGGCTTGGAATCGGGGGCTGGAGGCCGGAAGCTAGGGTCAGGGGCTATTATAAAACAATATAGCTTATACATAATTTTTGTTATGGGTAGATAGTTTTTCCTTGCCCCCCCCCACCACTTTCGACTTCTGTCGGAGCCCCTGCAGCAGATGCAAAAGAGGCATGACAAGTTCATTAAAAACAAAAAATGTTGATACGAAGGCTAGGCTTTGTCTGTGCTATTGCCACAAAAAGGACTGGATGTCGTTAAGGTTAGGGTGTTTAAGATCAGGATGTTGTCACAATGAGGCAAGATAAAAACACAAAGCGCCTTACGAAATGCCTTTCAATTGAACAAGAGCCATAACCATAACCCTTAAATTAATCCTTTATATTATTTGGCTTCATGTGTGTTTTTTTATGATATGTATTTGCTAACGTTTGTGCCGTTGGAATCTGTACTGGTTGTCTCAACATTTTTTGACTTCTTAAATTTGTCGTCAATCATCTAGTCCGATTAATTTTTTCTTATGGTGTCTCGTTTTAGCGTTTTTGTATCAACTAATAAGACGGAAAGAAGGAGAACGTTTATAGGGGTTCTGATTAGTTCAGATAGAAGACGCTCGAACCAGACCTAAATTTTCACCTACATGAAAATGCTTTTTGAAATAACGGGAAAATTTTGAAAAAGCACACAGCTTCTGATGTTGAGCAGTTGTTGTGAAAAAACATCTCTAACACAGCACACAGGGCTTGACTTTCAGACAGAAGGCTAAGATATCTTCTTTATGCGTTGCTTTTAGAAACGAATTTGACTTTTGACGTTCCGATTAGGGGCTAGCAAGCTCCATCGGAGGGGCTAGCAAGCTCCAACGGAGGGGCTAGCAAGCTCCAACGGAGGGGCTTTGCCTATCCTAGCCTTCCTCTAGGTTATCTAGGCTCAAAAGAATACCTGGCATCATTTGACCACTGTTTGTACACTGAATTTTTTGAATGGGATGTTATAGCCAGCAATGCAATAAAGCCAGAAAAAAGAAAAAAGTCTAAATAACTACTACCACGTTAAAGACATAATGATCGCCAATCTATCGGTTTAAAGAAGCTATTATTGACACGACAGATGAAATTAATTCACACAGAATATGTATTATTACGGCTTTATCGCAAATCGATTTGGTTTTATAACGTGCGAAGCAAATATTTGTCGGAGCATATGACAAAGTTTTGAGGTCTTGGAGTGTTGAATTGTAAAGTTATTGTCGCAGAGATAGTCATTAAAACACAAAGAGAGCATGCAATTACTTGTAAATGCGGCAGAGGACAGCAACCTTTAGCTTTTTCATTGAGCCAAACAAAAGATCGTGAGGAAACTTCTACAGCAGAAAAATATTTTTTGGCATTGTATGTTACATTCCAGGCAAATTTTCATTGAAGCCTTTATCTTGGAGTCTGCATTTTCTGAAGTCTGTTCAACAAAGTTTCGATTTCTAAGACGGTAGTTCCTAAATAAAGCACACGATAAGTTTGTCTGGAGACTTTTTAGTTTGGTCTATAGTTATCAAATATGGGGTCTGTATTAAACATCCTCATGCTGCTTATAAATCCTTTTCTAGCTTATAATTTACTTGCTTGAGAATAGTCGAGGGTTAAGTGTGGGACTTGAAATTTGCTTTCAATGATCGTTGCTGTGTTTCTTATCCTTGCGATAAGCTCTTTTTCAGACACAGCATTTGGCTCGAAATGCTGATTCCTGTAGTTTTATTCTACATGAAGCACTCAATGATTGGTAGAGTTCTTTGATTTCAAGTCGATGAATAAACTTTTTTATCAATATCAGTTTTCAAAAGCTCCAGAACTTCATTCTTGATACAGACGGCTGAACTGACATATGACATTGAAAATCGATATGGCTTGGCATACAATTCTAAAGGGACAGATAGACCCTATCCATTTTGGTATCGTGTGGACGCAAGCAAAATGTTAGAAAAGATCCAAAGCACCTAAATATAGTAAGGGACACAGATTAATCTGTTCTCATAAACAACGGTTTGTGAAGCAAGCTATTAGAATACAGCAAAGAAATGTTAGAAATTTGAGTAAGAATCACAATCTACGTTTTCCCGTAAATAAAATTTCTATCAAAAATTTCTATAAACTCCTTGCGAAATTCGGAAACAATGGAGTATTTAGAGTGATCATGAAGTAAGATGTTGATTAGCAAACAGAACTCTAAAAATATTCTTGCAGAGAATCATTCGACTGAGTAGAAAAAGCCAACAGAGTAGATAAAGAGGTTTAGTTGCTTTTGCCGCTTGCAAAATATTTACATAGAATGAGAAAGACTTCTACGGTTTTCTAAGTGAGAATTTTACTCGCATCTGCGACATGATTCAAGCTGTGTTCTAAGTAAATATTGCCAGGTTTCATTGCATGCAAAACTAGTGCCAAACCTGAAGCATTGCAAAGAAATTTCTTCAAAATTTTTTTACCGGATACACAAAGATGGTCCTTGATTATGTTCTCTTGAATGTTTATAGCACCACATGTTTTAAACAAATATAGTATGGCTATGACTAACTTTCATATTTTATGCTGAGTAATTTTACTTTTCTTTCGTGTGCTATGACTCATGGCCTGAGATCAGGCTCGGACGGAAAGAGCTCGGACGGAAATAGCTCGGACGGAAATAGCTCGGCAGAAAAAATAGAACAAACGGAAATCAAATGGAAAAATTGATCTCAGGATATATGCCTCATTGCTTTTACATTCTTTTCTGTGCTTCCCTTGTTCCGTGTTAGAATGAGTGTAAATTGGCCATATATATAATTCAGTGTATGGTAAGAACCACATATATTGTGACTTTTATAACATTCTAGATTGATTTTGTATCCATCAAGTTTTGAACTGGTGTAACGAGTCACGCGATATCAAATCTCGTAGTTTCGTTTTAACGTAGGTAATATGCTGAGAGTTATTATATTCAAACTAGGTAAAGTCTGTTAATCTTGTCCCTCCTTCCGAACCCAAACGCCATCGTTACACTGGCGCCTATCGATATTGAATGCGTCCTTATTGGCTGGTTCTTGATATTTTGATAGTTAACATTAAAACTCGTGTAAAACATCTTTAGCCACCGTCAATTGGTATATTTTTTCAAGAATTCTAGAGAAGACCTTTCAACATATTTTACCAAAAGTTGGAAAGAACAGAAATGTACAAACATTCGGCCTTGTTTTCAAGCAGTTTTAAATATGCCTTTTTGTCTTCTTAATGGCTGCACAGAGATGAAACATTGTTTAGAAGCATGGAAATTCTGTACTTTAAAACTTGAAGCTTTTTACTGTTTCGGAAACGATTTTGTAAACAAAATAACAACCTTGGTTAGCCGAATGAAGTTACGGAAAATATATACCATCTCGACACCGTACTGCTAGATCGTATCCATGCTTTAATATGTTTCTTGATCTATTCGAAACGTGCTTAAAGATTCTTTTATCTGAGTTTTGATTATCGGGCTTCTAGATTAACTTCAAAGAGATGAATTTTCTTCTCTCACCTGGTCTGAATTACGTCTCTCATTTAGTAACTCGCACATTATCTTACAGAATTCTATCCGCGAAATGCCGTATGGCTCTATCTGTTATCAAGTATCGAAAATGCTTAGTTTTCTACATTTGAAAGCATATTTCCTTTACGATATCAAGACACGAATTTATAACAAAAGTCTCTTTATATACTGATGCATGCGATTGAGATTATGCATGCGTTGGTGTTATTCTGATAAACACTAAATTAGCAAGCAAACAGCATAGAACATCGGGTTACAGTAAAAGCTCATTGTTGCGGAAACCTTTAAAACTCAAGTTGCTTTCTGCTATATAGAACTTTCCATTGTCCGGAGGCTGGATATAAAATGCTTTTGGCTCAATATACTTCAATTCCAATCATTCATAAACAACTCTTAAGAACAAAAAAGTTCTTGAATTTATAAAAAACTTGGACTCAAGACTCAAAACATTTTATAGGACTCAAGAAAGGAGAATTTTATCGACTCTGGGCAACAGAATCAATATCGCGTTTTAATATAAAGTATAGTTTCATGTCGATTTTGTGATAAAGGTTAATCTCTTGCAACAGTGTAAGAAAAGCAGTATTGTGATAAATCAAATGGAGTGTTAAAAAGAATGAGATTCTGCAGGTTTTGACTATTGAACGACACTTCGAATCTGCTCCTGAAATTTTTTTAACGGAGCTATAGTTACTGTTGATCATGTTTTTCTCTATGTCACAGTGAAGAACGCTTTGTAGCTTGTCAGATTAGTAAGATCTTCCTTCAGATTTTTCCACAGAAAACCCCCGTGTTTAGGGGTATTAATTGAAGATTGAAAACTATCAAAATCTTGCTTGACAGTTTCTGCCTAGACTTCAAGGCTGTAGCTAATTTTGGACAGAACTAATGCTTCATGGAAAGCTATAGGCCCCAAAACTATAGCTACTTTAACTCTTACCTTGGCAAAAGATGCCTGGAGGCTTCACTTTGCAGTGGTTTTAGAGAATCAAATAGTATATGACGTAATTTCCAATGATTACTTTAAGACTGTTTTCTTTCTAACCGAATGCTTTATTCTCATACTTTTCGTAGATTTTGAAGACATATAGCTTTGTTACGTCTGAATCAAAACCAGAGACATTATCTTATCAGATGTGTAAGCAAAAAAATAATACTTTTAGCCTTACAATGTTTAATGCATAATACGTCTGTGCTGTCCTGATGATTCAAACTGATGCTTTTACCAGATAACTCTGTTGTTGCCATTAGTTTCTCTAGAACTAGCTAGAATAATTTCGCATGAAAATCGTTTAAAATTCCCATTTCTTCGTAATTATTTGCTGAGAATTCCGCCTTAGCTCAGCTAGTCACGAATTGTAACTAGGAATGATGAATTCAGCATTTATTCATTGCTGTCTTAAGTATTTCATTGCTGTCTTTTTATCAAGTTTGAGTGCAATTTCCAGTTTTTGGTGGCATTTTCAGAATTAAATACATAACATAGAATTGCACTAAGTCAACCGGCTGAGTATACTAAACGACTTCCTTT